TTTTTTTTTGGAAAGGATGGGAGAGTGGGTGGGGGAGAAAATAAAAAGTGGTGGGATATTTGCAGTTCATTAGGGGCTGAAACCCGAGTAGGTAGGGCTGTCATCGGAAGTCTCAGACCCCAGGGCCATCTCATACGTCTCAAGGTTTGACATTGTTCCGTAGTGTCCGACAAATTTGTTTCCGTCGGGGGCGGGGCATCTGGTGGGGGCCATTTTGACGGTTGGAAGGGGGGAGGGGGGTGAGATTCACCTCGACAGCGTCACAACAGGGAAAAGGGGTGTTGAGATAGAGGAAAAGCAATCAATCTTTGAGAGGCAGATGAGTACGAACCTGAAATATAGGGCAACACAAATTTAGTCTGGCCGCGTCCACGTCTCCACGTGTTGAGACGTGAACGCGCAACCGCCCGGGTTGTAATCGATATTGCCCGACAAGGTACCACGCCCTGCACCTGCGAGATGTGCGGGATGCAACGCCAATTCCATCCCCTCGACCCCCTTCTGACCCCCCCTCGGGCTCCGATCTTCCTCCAATTTTTAATGCGAAACCTGTTGCCATTTAGGGAATTCAATTGATATGTTATTCGATTGGGAGCATGGATTCTCAGTGGCAAGCGTCGTTATCGCACTTGATGATTTTTATTTATTTATCGAATCCACGGAGACTTCACCCAAATGATTAATTGTATTTATGAATTCATTCAAGTCGATTTACCCGTTTTATTTGGGGTGACTGGGGGAGTTGTTGTGTCGATGATTAAATTCGGTGATCAGTGGAATTGAATCGAGGGGAACTTAATAGTGTTACTTAATGGCGATCGAGTGGAAAATTCCACTTGAGTCAAGTCGAACTCGACCCGAGTCAAGTGGTAAAATCGGCGTGAGTCACCCTAAAGTTTCACCTTGACCCCCGTTTTTTTTTTTCGCCGAGCCAATGTTTCGTGATAAGGCGAATCCGTAAAATCGGAGGAAAAAAAATAGACGAACGGACTGGGAGTGGATGACGTCTGGGATGGGGATGGGAATGGGCATGGGTTCCACAAGAGAATGAGCAATCCCGGGGGCTGGTTACGCAAGGTCGATTCATTGATTAATCCGGGAAACGAGAGTTCGAGCGGGAAAACCCGGAGCAACGGCCATTGTCCGAAGCTATTCCAATTCACCTCCTTATCGCGATAATGATGATTCATTTCTATATCTCGCTGATGTCCCGTCGACGTACTGAACATGCTACTGATGTCTCTGATGGGATAATTATCTGAGGGATGAGTAACAGCCCCAGCATTGCACCCTCATCACAAATCTGAGGAATAATCTTGACAATATTCATATTCACCCCACGTACAACTCGCGGTGTTTACGGATACTGTGTCCGCATTTCGTATCAGTCATTTTTCTATTTCCAAGATGCGATAAATATTTATAGCATATATATGGAGTTGATTAATCCGCCCCCTTGAGCAATCAGGGGAAGCCATGAATAGCGAATCAATTGCGTGACTGGCAGTTTTCTTTTATCAACTACTACACCGAGAAAATATTGTATAGGAAGGAAATGAACCCTTGCGATTATATATCATCATTTTTCTTAATGCCATTATTTTTACCCTCACGGATATCTCCGACGGAAGGCATCTCTCCTATTTTATTGTGTTTTATTATTATTATATCTAATAATTTCATTTTTTACACAATTATTCGAATTTTTACTCCATATTTACTCCTACATCATATTATGAATATGAATTGTGCATTTTTATTATGAGTATATTGTTTGATTGTTATTAATTATTATTTTTTATTTGATAAAGTGTAGAGTACATTTTCGAGTGAGTGTGTTATTATTTAATTGACGAGTGCAGTCTTGATGGGCGAATTGATGATTGAGTTGGAATAATGTATGATGGTAAGTAATGAGGGAGGGGAAATTTGGGGGTTGTGTTTTGTTCGGGGGTTGCTCGCATTTTTAAACATTGTTTGAAGAGCACCTGTACGAAACGGACAACTGGACCCTTGGGAGATGGCGTGCCACGAGGCCATACACCAAAAAGCCACTCTGCATTTTTTTACATCAGCCTCACTCACCGTTAAGGCTGTTACATTTTCCTGGCACTTTTCCTCTTTCCTTTTTTTGGGGGTGGCAAGCTGTTTTAGGGTGATCGTTTCCAGCATGACAATACTTTCGGGGTTTATTTCGGGGGTTTTCGGGAAATTCGGGTAATCGTTGATGGAGCATTTTATAATTTTTCTGTGTTGAGAATTTTCCGGATTTTTCCGAATATACGATTTTCACAGATTTCTGAAAATCTTACGGATTTTTTTGGGACGATTTTATGATTTTTTTTTTGTGGAAATTGGAGTTTTCTGGGTGGACATTTCCCGGAATTTTCTTCAAAAGTTTTCCTTGCATTTTCTCCAGGGAGTCGGGTATAATTATCTTTTAGGATATCTTCACAGTTTTCCTCACATTTTTCTGAAATTTCTCGTTGAAATTTTCCCAAATTTTCCTGAAGAATTTTTCTTCTCCTATTGAAAGTTTTTCCCCGTCATTTTCGCGGAATTTAAATGACCATAAACTCATTCATGCGTCTTCTGGAAGTTTCCCGAAACGTTCGTGAAGTCCATGAAAAGTAAAAGAAAAAAAAAATACTTTACTACCAACATTCAATCTTTATCTCTCGATCTTGAGGAGAATGAAACGTGACTCGATAAGCCCGAACCGAGCAAAAGGGGTTGAGCATTCGAGGGGCTATTATTCACAGACGAAATGAACAAAGGGTGTCGAGCCGAGCAATTAATCAACCCCTCATCCACCCCCGAATGAATCTTAGATCTCTCATATTTTTTTCCCCTCCCCCCACACATCCGGTGTTTTCTCTCGCTTCGGGCTCTGCACACTTTATCTCCATTCACTTGGATTGAGCCAGTTGTGTGTCAAGAGATAAAACACAAAAGTATACTCTCCATTCCCTGAATGAAGACACAACCCCATTAATACGTTACACCAATTCCATTTTTACCTACCCCCGCACCGAGAGACTACCATAAAACATTACTTATCATTTTGTCTCGTCATACCGTTTCGGGCTCGTCACGGAAAAACCGGAAAATAGAGAAAAATAATGAACTTCGGATAATTGACGGAAATTCATACCGCCATTTTACTCAATTTAATCCTTAAGATCTAGTAGAGAATTTCCTCGAGTTTTCCATTTTTCTTCAAGAATTTCCCACTCCATTTTTTCCTCATCATTTTCAGAAATTTTATTCTGGAGATTTTTCCCAATTTTCTCCACGGCATTTTCCAGAATTTTCTTTAGGACATTTCCAAGAATTTTCTCCAGAACATCTCCCGGAATTTCTACGGTAAAAAAATATTCTTCAGGATTTTTCCTAAAATTTTCTCTACCCGTCCTTCCGAATTTTCCTCAAGCCATTTTCCCAGGATGCCTTGTTGACTGTGACTTGTGGAAAAAAAGGGAAACTTCAGATAATTGACGACAATGTCCATCACGCAATCGCGGATCCTTCCCCTCTCTCTCTTGTAATTAATCCAGTATCGATCCTTGTCTTCCCGCCAACAGCCCGGGGTATCGACGAGCTTTCGGCGAAATTCGATGAAAAAAGAAAAAAAAAAAACCCGTCCACTTTAACGCTGACCCTCGAAAATCATGTTTCATAAATCACAGGACCATCTCGAGATGAAAAAGTTTTCGTTCCTCTCCACCAGAGATGGCAGGAGAAAAGAGAAAGGTGGGAAAAGCGATTCTTGCTGTGGCATTAATGAAACTTTCCCGTCAACTTTTCTTCACACCCGAGACCTCATATCGATCTTTTTTGTGTTTCTATTTTTTACCCTTTTCTTCTCCAACCCCTCTCCCCCCCCCCCTGTCCCCTCCGAGCCCTTTACCCCTTTTTACATGAGAGGTTATTCTGCTGGGAGGAATGATAAAGATAGAGTGCGGTATTGGTGGGCAGCCCTGGGGGTGGAAAGTGGGTGGAGTGGGTGGAAGGGTGGAAGGGTGAGGAATTCACATCACGTGCCAGAACGTTCGAGGTGAGAGAAAAAAGAGGCGTGGAGGAAAAAAAGGGGAATGATTATTCAGGAGTGGGTCTGCATGCCAACTGTACCAGTCCCATCAGTTCCAAGTTGTCGAGGTGTGAATAATCTGTTGAAATTTTGGAATGAATTCACCAAAAATTAAGGAAGAGTTACGCTGATCTGGAGTTGATGCCATTTCATTGGGGAAATTCGGGGGAAATTCGGCGGGAGTTCTGCGGTTGTGGAATTCTATTCCGCAGGAAAGCTCCGGGAAAATTATGAGAGTCCTGGACTTCTGGAGGAAAAAGCATTCCGTGGAAAAATTGAGAAAAAATTCTCGGGAAATCACGTAAGACGTCGGTAATTCTGGAGTGAAAATTCTCCGTGGGATTTTGGTGGACTTTTCCCGATTCACTAAATATCAATTTCCCGATAGGGAAAATTCTGGAAAAATCCCCCCCAAAACGAAATGAATAAATAAACAAATAGATGATTCAATGAAAAATGATTCTAATCTCATGAAAATTCCTGGAAAATTCCGGAAAACTGCATTCCAACCCTGACACCTGCCGGGCAAAAAAAAACGCAATGGGAATATTTTTTCCAAATTTTCAAAAAATTTCCGGAAGATTTTTCAGAATTTTTTTTTATGAAACAGACAAAAAATCGGAAAACAAAATAATTTTATTTTTGGGAAAGGTTTTGAAAAATTTTTCAAAAATTTAAATAGGGAAATTGGGCTACCAATAAATAAATCCACGAATAAAACCCAAAAAACCGAATGAAAAAATGTCTCTTCAAAAAATTCATCCCCCACCCAGACAAGGTTCCTGATACCAGCGAGACCGAAACAGGAAGAGCACCGGTCGATCAATAATCTGTCGACTTTTCTATTCTACAGAAAAAAAAAAGCTTTCCTGTTCTTCTTCTCAACGATTATTCGTTTTTTCTGTTCCAGAGGCCGACTATACCTTGGACGATTCCTTTTGGAATGAAGAGACTCCCGCCGGTGAGTGAAAAAAAAGGAGTGAGGGAATGGAAAAGTAGATAAAAAAAAAATATACTGAGAAGAACGTAGAAGTAGCTGAGAAAAGATGCGGAAGGAGTAGAAAGAGAACTCGAGACTCGTAACTAGTCTTCGTCTGCTTTTACATGCGCATAACCCGCACCCCATATTGCCTTCTGGGTACAAACCCCTCGTCCCCTCTTCACCTATCGCATCCACATATTCTCAACACATTATGTACAAGGGGTGCATGTATGGGGAAAAAGATAGAAACACTGGTGGAGCTATTTGCACCGGCAAGATGTGGGTCGTCACGATCCCACGCTTTGAAGATTTGTAACAACCCGTTTTTCTCTCATTTCAGGGCTCCTTTCTTCCGTGTTTTCCACCGATTCTTGAATTTTTCACGTTTTTCATGTCAATTGTTTATTTTTCCCCGGGATTTCTCTCCCAACCCCCACGTCAACTCCATAATACTGCAGTTGAAAATTTATCAAGACCTCCTGGTCTAGTGATTTTTTTCGGTTAAAATCCCCAGAAGCCCCTAGATTTTCGAGTGATTATTTGGCTTTGTCGGTAATTAGGTTGCACCGGATAAAAAAAAACATTGTAATCGGAATATTTTTCCCAAATCTTCAAAAAATTTCTAGAAAATTATAAAAAAAATTTTCCGAAACAAATTTTTGAAAAATTTTTCAAAACCTTTCCCAAAAATAAAATTGTTTTATTTTCCGATTTTTTTTCTGTTTCATAAAAAAAAAATTTCTCAAAAATCTTCCAGAAATTGTTTGAAAATTTGGAAAAAATATTCCGATTACATTTTTTTTTACCCGCGGCTTACCCGCGGCTTTTTACTACATATTGCGTAATTTTATAATTTTTATAATTGCTCTAAAATTTCTGGATTTATATTTTCCTTCATTCGCGCGAATTTCAAATTTTTTTTTATGTGTCAATATAAGATATATAATATATATTTTCCCCGAACTTGTCATATTGATTTCACTGACGTATGGATTTGCCCTTGCCACCCCTTAAATTCAAAGTTGTTTTATGTTGTGGAGTCATGTCTCACCGGAGCCCTCAATTTTGAGAGTGAAGCCCTCGACGAGATTATCGTTCTCCTCTCCGACTGTTTTCCCCCTCAGGATCAATCGCCCCTTCTCGTGAAAATCTGCCACGACGTCGAGTAGGTACCACGGGAATGGCCTTAGGTGCCCTTGAAGATATATCGCACCTCTTATCGAGTAGATAAAAATAAAGTAAGACCCGTTGGGTGGTGGGGGTAGTGATTAATGTCGATGACATTCGACATTACGACGGGGTACACCAATTCGCCACACTATATTTTGAGTGCACAGTACCAATCGACTTGGGAAATGGTCTTGGGAAAATGGACTCAGGGTCGGGTAATTTCAAGTCGATGGGTCACCCTTGGATAAATACCTCCGGAGATTTGTCGACAACAATGACACTTTAAACCCATTGTATGCCATTACTCCCCAGAAAAAGTACCAATTCGACGCCATTTTTCGATTTAAATTCTGATTTCAAATGATTTTTTTCATTGAGTCAAGTCAAATGACTCGACTTGACTCAACTCAATTTTTAACTTGATTCAAATCAATTCTTTCGGCTGATTCAACATGATTTTATTTTCAATTAGAATTGACTTGAGTCAAGTGCTGATTCGACTTGATTCAATTCAATTTTTAACTTGATTCAAGTCAATTCTTTCGGTTGATTCAACTTTTTTTTTTTAATTAGAATTGATTTGAATCAAGTGGAATTTCACTTGAATAAAGTGGACTTTCACTGGAATCAAGTAGAAAAATTGAGTTTGGTCAGACAGAAGTGGCGATTTGAACTTTTTCAAGTTAGACTTGACTCACAATTTTATTTAATCTATCACCGAATATTCTGGGGCAGAATTCTTGAGGAATGGTTATCGCAAAATTTATGGTACAAGGGACAATCTCCGATCAAAGGGACGCGTATAATATTGACTCATCGATGATCTCCCCTACGGCTCACCTTCACTCAGCGTCAAAATAATGATAAGGGAAAACTGGGGGATGGTGAGAGGAGTTGAGGGTGAAAATTTCTCCTTTGGGGACCCTCTGAAAGCCCCAACTTCCATCCGTCTGGTCGTTTTGCAAATAAAAAAAGGGTAACCCCCTAACGAACCGTTTGAGTTTGATGCCTCTGTGACCTCGGCCTCAAGCTAGAAAAGAGCATTACCTCGGGGAAAAATCGCCAAATTAATTTAACATTTTTCCTTACCGGCAATTGAAGGATTTTTATTAAATGAAAATCGATATCAACCGATAATTATGTACGAACCAGCTAAACACCTCAACTCAATTTTCACTACTCAGTTTTTAATTAATACCTCCATATTCAAGACCGATATCAAAATTTTCGTTAAAACATTTTTTGTGGTCTGAGAATTACTCTACAAAAAATGTAATTACGAAAATTTGGATACGAGTCCTCATTACCGAAATATTCATTGGTAACTGATGACAAATTGAAACAATGAAATGATTGGAGTCGACTCGGCTCCAACTGGCTTCTCATGAAATATCTGCGGATCTAAGGGAGATAGCAGATTTTTCGTTATTAACTTTTTTGTAGCTTAGATTCAAATGAATAAAAAAGATATTGACGAAAAATGAGCTAGCTCCCGGGGATATCGAGATATTGATCGGAGATCGGATGGGGCTGGTGAAATAAATATTTCGGGGGTAAATTGATGATGATATATTTAATGAAACGTGCGTTTTAGGCGAGGTTGAACGACTGTTGCGAGAGTATCGTCAGAACCAAGAGTTAGTACGTGATATTGGTGCTCACAATTACCAGATTATTTATCCGGTACAGTTGCGGCACCACGAGAAAATGGGGATATCCACGAGAGAGGCAGGTTTTCCAAAGGTAATGACTGCCACTTGCCACTTGTCGTCTAATCACTCATCAATCCCCTAAAATCCATTAAACTCTTTCACAGTATCCACAGAGGAGTGGCTACTCGGATGGATATCAAAATGCCAGAGGAAGATCAAGAGTGAGTATACCCTGTTGAAAATCTCGCTCAACGATTTCCAATGGTATCAATGTCCTCTCTTTTCACAGGCGGGGAAGCACTTTCACCGCACATCCCTCTTGATCAAAGCCTTCAACCACAAATTCCGCCTAGATTTAGAATTAAATACGTGAGTATTCTCGTTGATCTCAAATTTCTCACATCTTCACCAATTTTGGGAATTTTCTTATTTATTTTTTCATTTTTTATTTCATTTTTTTATTTAATTCGTTGATTTATGATTGATAACTCTAGAATGAATACGTGAGCATTTCTCATACCGATTTCAAATTTTCCGTTAAAAATTCATCTTTTTCCATTTAAATTGAATTTCTAATTAACTATTTCATGGATTTTTAACAATCTTCCATAAATTTTCCAGGTTTTCCACAAAAATGTGAATTTTCCCCAAAATTCTGAGAATTTTACAGTCAAGATTCACTATTTTTTGAAAATAAATGGAAATTATTTTTCATCTTTGACTTCACGATAAGTTTTTGGAAAATCCACCAATTTTTTTCAATTTTTTGTAATTCAGAAAAATATCAGTTACTCGGAAAAAATGGAGAGCTGTCGCGACGACAAAAAAATGTCCCCAATTCCCAGAGTGAATTGCGAATTTTTTTTTCATCACGACGAAAAAAATGAATGGATGCATCACGATTTATCCGGAGCCATCAATCACTCGGGGGAAAACTTATCGAAAACTTATCGATAGATAATGATCTATCGCTGTAAATCCGACTTTTCTTACATTTCAGGCAACTTTTAGCACCTAATCTCATACAAAAAGACTTTTTAAGTCGTGATGTTGAGCAGATGTCCAAGCAGGTAATTCATACGATTTCTCAGACGTTTCTCGTATGCGAGATCAAACTAAATTAAAAAATCCTCCGCTTTCTAAGAAATTCTATTAAAATTCCGAAAAAATCCTCAAAACTCCAATTGAAAAATATATTTACCCAAAACCGACGGTAGTGGCCGTGCGGTTAGAGTGCTAGACTAGCATGCCAGAGATCCGGGTTCGATCCCGGGCACCGGCGGTCAAAAATTTATAGCGCTCTGATCTCACGGTTCCACTGCCGAGCGGTAGTCCTGTCAAAAGGACGACTGTACCTGGGCAGGTTTTTTCCCTCAGATGAGGTTTTTCCCTCCCTTCAAGCAAATGCGGTACAGAGGGTTGGGGGGGTGGGAAGGGAACCAACTAACCGTAAAGACCCGAAAGGGTATACGAGAGAAAAGAAAAAATATTTACCAAAATTTTAAATCGAGAAAAGGAAAAATCACGTTAAAATAATGTTTATTTCTGTGGAATTCCAGAGGTTTTTCAAATTTTTCATGGAATTTCGACAGAATTTCATGAATTCATCAGAAATAAAATTTTATCCAATTTTTCCGTTCCATAAATTCATGATTTTTTCCAATAAAATTTCACCGAAATTTCTCCTTGGAAATTTCGCAATTTGTCTTGATCTCTCGGGGAATTTTATATTATCAAATTGAATGTGATTTTCTATCAACTGAAAATATAATGCATGAGTGTAAAAATAAATTTGGAATTTCGATAGAGACAGACTAGAATTTCCACAAGAAAGCGCAAGAATTCAATTTTTTTGTCTCCACACTCCATTGAAAATCCATCACCTGGTTTTTTTGTCCAGGAAATTGAGCACTGCTATTATCACGGCACAGTGAGGGATTATCCAGGTGCAAGTGCAGCATTTCACACGTGCAATGGTGTAAGCGGTGTAATACACCTGGGTAACGAGACCTTCGTTATCCAGCCATTCTACGGTGGTGACTTGTCGGTCAGTTAAAACCGTTCAGAGAGATCATTATTCCATCCATCTTAATAAAAAAAATAATAAAACCAAAAACCAGAGAAAATGGCGAAAACGGATGCATCCGCCAGAAATAGGACGAAGCAAAAAAAAAACACACACAATCCATTCTAAATTTTTCAATAGCAATGATTTTTATCAGATAACAAAATGACGTAATCATTCAAGAATTGAAAACAAAATTTACCTACATAATTTTTTATTTTCATTTTTATTTCCGGTCCTCGAATTTTTAAGAAAATCCCAAGAACTCATTATTGATAATTTGTTAATAAACCGTTCGATAACAGAAAAAAGGAAAATTAACTTTCAAAACATCTCGTAAACTGGTGTATTATTTTTATATAGGCCTATCGATAGCAAGTAGTGAGTCAGTAGTAAATTGCCTTGGAGATTTGATTTTTATAAGTTGATCCGCTAGAGATTGATATCTGGTTTACTGTTGGATGCTTTGAGGCAATGAGAAAAAGTACATCGGCCCTGTGATATAGCAAATGAAGGGGTTATCGTAAATCAATCTATATGTATACCCTCTCCTTTAGCAGAGACATCCTCACGTTATATTTGAGGCTCGAACAAAAGCGAACAAAGGCTGTGGCATCGCTGGTAATCTTGAACGTCGGCTTGCCAAGAATCGACGACAGAAGCATGTACTCGGCCTTTCTGAGAGTATTGGTGATCGATACAAGCGAGACGTACGTGAGGCAACTAAATACATCGAAACTGCCATGGTCATCGATAAAGCTATGGTAATTTTGTCAATTCAATATTTTTGAATTTACTATTTGAATTTGCCGCCCCGAATCGCTACAATTTGGGAATCCCCCATGTATGTAATATGTATAATATTACAGTTTGATAAGAGAAATGGTAGTAGCAGAGCTGAAGTAGTCCACGATGCCATCCAAGTTGCGAATATTGCAGATTTGGTAAGATTAATTATAAATAATCCACTGCAAACTGATAAACTAGGAAAACTGCATTTTTTCACCTTCAGTTTTTGCCGAATATCTCGGAATCGAACAGAGCTACGAAAATTTTCATAAAATTCTTTTGTCTAGCTCTAATCTTTCTCCGTAAAAAATATATTCACAAAAATATCGCTATCTTTCTTCAATCCCGAGATATCGCCCGAAAAATGAAAAAAATCAGTTGCTCAAATTCGAAATTCCTTAGTTAACAAATGATTAACAAATCCATTTGTCGCAGTATTTCCGTACGTTAAACACGAGAGTATCAGTAGTATACATCGAGACCTGGTCAGGCGGTAATCAGGCATCAATAGAAACTGGAATGGAGATAAATCGTGCCATTCACAATTTCAACGATTACACAATTCGGAAATTGTATCAGATTACCGAGGACACGATTCAGATGCTGACGTAAGTATTTTTATTTAATCTCCTCGTATTTTTCCAAGAGAAATTCAAATAGAAAGAGAAAAATGAGACAAATATGTGCGGAAGTGGATGTTTTAGGGGAATAATCCCCAGACGTTTTCCCCTGAAGACGACCCTCGACTGATAGTTTTTATTTCTATCGAGTGACTTGGAATAATTATTCAAGCTCTTCATCGTAACCTGCAGTTATTTTACTCATCCCTTCGGCAATTCTATTGTTTTTTAAATGTTTTTTCTTTTGCTTCAGGGGCGAGACTTTTCAGGGTGGAGAGTCTGGTGTTGCTGCTCACGAGACTGTTTGCAGTCCAAAATCAGTCGGAATTAGTGTAGATTTGAATACTTATGAGCCACATTTACTCGCTGGCACGATGGCTCATATGATTGGTCATAATATAGGAATGAAGCACGACGATGGCAGTGAGTGGAATTTATTCCATTCAATTTAAAAAAAAAAATTGCTATTCAATTCACGGAAATCCATTCGTAAATCGATCGAAAAATAAGTAATAATAATAATTGATATTGCATTTTTAATAAATTATCTGGAATGGGAGAAAAAAATATTTTAAAAAATCTGTCAAGTGCTTTTTAAAATTAAAAATTGTTTTTAAAATTGTAAATTGGGGATTAATATTCTGATTATCTCTTAATCTCTCTCGTTTGATGGAAAACAGGGGAAAACTGCTTCTGTCGCGATTGGCACGGATGCATTATGGCCCAGTCGATAGTAGGGGCTGACAATGTTCAGCCATACAAATTCTCAGAGTGCAGTAAAGCCGATTACGAGGAGGCTCTCAGAAGTGGACATGGTATTTGTCTGTTTAACAAGCCAAACGAGGTGAGAATGTACTTGACTTATCACCGGGCCATTTTCCGAGTGAGAATGTTTGGAAAATTTATTCATGTGCGTAAAAATGATTTGCAGTTGGAGACTAGATTATGCGGTAACAGGGTTATTGATGATGGAGAAGAATGTGATTGTGGGACACTCGATGATTGTCCTGATATCGATCCTTGCTGTGATCCAATCACCTGTAAACTCAAGGCCGAGGCGGAATGCGCCTCGGGTCCTTGCTGCAATGAGTGCAAAGTAAGAGAAATAAATCGGTTTCAAAATGAAACAATTCAAGTCGACTGACCGAGTCCTTCAGTATTTCGTTGATATCTCCGTATCTTCTGAAAATAGCGGAATTCTCGTCAAGATCTTTTTTACAGAGAGGGCGAAGCCCGACAAAAAAGGTTCCGATGGTAATTTCGGTATGAGCTGTAGATTCCGAGATATCGATGAAAACCGGATGAATATTAAAAATAAATAAAATATTTTCACGAAACAGTTACTCCCGAGGGGCTCGATTTGTCGCGAATCTTCAAACGAGTGCGATTTACCAGAAGTTTGCTCTGGTGAAACTGGCCAGTGTCCGGTTGACCTTTACAAGAAGAACGGAAAACCGTGTGCCAACAATCAGAGTTTCTGCTTCGGCGGTTTGTGTCCTGATTTGAATGTCCAATGTACACAAGTCTGGGGTGAAAATGGAAAAGCAGCGGATATGCAGTGCTTCGAGGAATTTAACTCAAAAGGCTCGATAAATGGCCACTGCGGCACCGATCCAGCTGGCCACTTTGTCAAATGCGAGTCTAGGTGAGTAAATTTCACTTATCAATCATTGAATCGTCAGCTAATTCGATGGAAATATTGTAGAAACGTACGCTGTGGCTCTCTCCAGTGTCAGGACGGCAGTACACAACCGGTGATCGATGGTATGGACCAATCCTGGTCCAGAACCATCATATTCATCAAGGGAAAAGAATACGAGTGCAAGTCAGTTTTTTTCGCATTTTTATCCACTCAATCATCCTCTCGGTATTGACTCCCCTAATATTATTTTATCTTGTCCTTACGTTTCAGAGCCACTAGTGGAAAGGTCGAGGGTAAAGACGTCCCTGGAATGGGTTTAGTCCACGATGGAACGTCCTGCGGTGAGAATTTGGTAATTACACACTTTTCCTACGATAAAACATCCTCCAAAATGATTCCCTAAAAATCGGTTCTTCCCATATTTTCATCACTGTTGATCCATGAAATACTCGTGGTTTTATATTTCAAACGATTTTCAATCTTCGGGAATAATTTGAAATAGGGAAGATGAAAGTGGCGCGATTTTCAGGAAATTCACATGAAAATTGAATAGAATTTCTCTCACAATGTGCAATGTAGTGAAATTATTGTAAATAATTGTAGGTTTGTGTCAATCAAACGTGCACCAACGTATTTCCACACGTGGACCAGGGGAAGTGTCCAAGTAATCAACACAATTTGGAATGCTCAGGGAATGGGGTGAGTGATTAATGAAGCAGTTAGTTCCATTGAAATTCAAGATCCATTTGAGCTTGAGACAAATGCATATCCAATTGTAACAACCGACCTCATGGGTTCCAGGTGTGCACTAATATTAACAAATGTCACTGCGAGATTGGGTGGAGTGGTCCTGACTGCTCAATACAGAGCTACATACCAACACCAAAACCAACAACAACCAGCACTGAAACACCTGGTAGTAAACCAACAGAATCGGCAAATAAACACCAGAAGAAAGAGACCCCCTACGGTAAGTCGACAATCTCAATTATTTTTACTCGTTTTTCATTCAACTGTTCAATTTCATCATAATATGTCACAATTATCGATCAAAATCGCCGCTTTAAACGATTTTTCGTCGACTCTACCAGATTTCCGGGAATATTTCGTCATGGGGGGGAGATACCGCTTTTTGGTAATTAACTTTTTTATCAGGCGGATCGAGATGTAAAGAAAAGGTCATTATGAAAAATTCGCTATCGGTGGTAGATTCTGAGATATTCATTGAAATCTGATCGATAGTCAGGGCTTCAAGTAGACTTGGGTAACTCTGGGGTTTTCCAGGATTATCTGAAAATCTAAGGGAGATAGCGAGATTTTTGTAAAAGCCACTTTGGGGGAGTGAAATTAGACCTACAAAAAAGGCCATTACGAAAATTTCGCTATTCCTGTTGGATTGCGAGATATCGGGGTAAATGTTACCGATTTGTGAAATCGGTCTGTTACTTTTCGCCAGTGAATTCACATCGGAATGAATATTTGAAAAATCGCTTCGAGAGGCTATTTTGCTCTAATGATGAGTGGAAAATTTCAACTCAAAGCAGATCTATTTCCTGTAAAATGGGAGAGGTAATACCAGGGGAGGCAGAGAAAAATAATTCAGGAAAAATCGTCGCAGCTTCATTGGAGGGGATAAACGTTCGTGAAAATATTTGTGGAGACTCTGGAGGGTGTGGGGTGATTCTCCGAGAGCCCCCATTTCCCCTTTTAAACAACCTCCACCCCAAAAAATCGATTGCCACATTTATCCAAATATCGACACTTGGCAATCGAGATGTATTACCGAGATTTTCAGGGTATCGGTGATGTATTTCACTTAATGGTGAACACTTTTTTTTACCTAAAATGGAAATTCCCGCAGTTTAATTTCGGGGATATCTAATTCCATTTCTGCCTCACCCCAGCACCCCAATATTTCACACGATTCTAACGGAAAAAATGGGGTGAGTCTCGGTATCGCAGGCGCTTGAGTATTCTTGGGGTCATACTATCAGCTGTGCACATCGTCTAGTTAATTATGTGGTAATAATAATAATTTTTCTCATATACCAGATGACAACCGGTTTTTTTGGTACTCGAAAAATTTCTGGGGAAACGTTTTTGGGGTGGCGAGACTTTCTCTTTCCGATTCATTATTTATCCATTAATTTCAATGCTCTATATTATTCTGAGACAAATAAATTATCGATTTATTATTTTTATATCGAGAAAATGGGAATGAGAATTTGTTTTCAACTTGAGAAAGAAGTAATTGTTGATCTGATTAACCGTTTGTCATCTGATTGTTGAAATAATTTACACAGTGAGAGTGGTATGGAATAATTCGGAGATTTGATTATGAAGCGGACGTCGGAGGATGATTTAAACATTTTAAAAGTGTAATTAGGATGATGATTCAGCCAGGGAGTGCAGAGCTGTCGGAAAAGCTGGGGTTTTCACAGGATTGCTGTAAAAATAGATTGATATGTTCCAGGGGACAACAGCCCGCAGAATCTTAGTCGAATGGCGATGGTATTAATCCTGCTCAGTGTCGTGAAAGGGGTCTTCATTTGTTTTGCACTAATGGCTCTTTGCTACAGGTACAGTAGCAAATAATAAAAAGAGAAATTGTCGTGAAATTACCCGGCCTTTCTCTTCATTTTTCAACAAAAAATTTCATGGAACGCCGGCACTCCAGTTATAAAAAGTTTCATTAACTCCCGAATTTTCGGGAGAAACTTCTGGACATTCATGAATTTTTTCGACTTGTTTATTTAATTCTGCCATTTTTTAAGTTAAAAAACATCAGGAGAATTGATTAAATGACCAAGTGGAGTTGTTTTAATTTTACGTTTTTTAGGATTTGTCTCGGAAGCTATTGGGTCTAGGAGAAAATGTCGGAAAATCTTTTTTGGTGGAAATTTAATTTTCTAGAAAAAAGTTTTTTACTGATTTCGAATTGGGTCAATAGTTTTCGGAATAAATCAGGAGTCGAAAGACTCTTCAGACCGGTTTTAACACTTCATTATTCAATTTTATTATAAATATTAATTTTTCATTGTTTTCCCTGAAATTTTTTGAATCGTGGAATAACTTGAGACTCCGAATTCTATTGAATTATTATCCAAACTCTATATAAATTCTCTCGATTTTTTAAAATTTTATTAAAAAATATATGATGTATCCGTCAAAATATTCCAAATTTTATAACAACAAATGGGTGAATAACAAATATAAATGTGTTAAACAGATTAAATATTTCTGCATAAAAATGAATTCTTATGGAGTTGCGATAAAAAGCGAGAGAACTCGGAGGATTTTTTTAATATAATTTTTTCCACTTGTCAAATAGTCGAGTGGGCCTGGGTAATTTGTTCTTCTGTAATTAAACCAACGCCTGTCGTCGTCGTCAAGTAATATCGTGCCTAGCTGGATGATGAAGGAGGCATCGCACGCGGCCAACACATTTTTACATAAACAATTATCCCAAATTTAATTAACAATTTGCTCCCTCACAATAATTATAGCAAATTATTAATTGAATTGTCCGTGTCGTACAATGAATTTCAGTATTCGATGTTTATTTTCTCATCCACTGATACCTTTTCTTACTCATCGTCTGTTCGTACGTTTATTTAAATTTTCCTTCAATGGAGTAAGCAATGAAAGATCACACGGAAAATCCCGGATTTTCCGTGGAAATATATCGGATTTTCGATGCACGTCTATTTGGATTATTTCTGGGTACGATAGGGCGGAAAATCGCCGGAATTTAGCGATCTATTTCCGGAAAATACGCAGATAATGGAATCACGTTATTGCGATCGATCTCATCATGTCATCGTGACTCATTTATCTTTTCTCATTTTCCATCTTTTCACGTTCATGTTCTTCACGTCTTTTTACTGTGCTTTGGTGAGATCGATCGACTCTCGATAAATAATCCGCCCTGTGTACTCAAATCAGGAGTCAAGAGGTAAAATTGGATACACCAAATTCTACTGTTGAAAAAGTATGGATTTATCTCAGGAACCAGTGATTTTATGAAAAAAGGTAAATAGACCCTTTTTCTTGGAAATTTCATTCACTACAAGAAAGTCCTTTGGCATTTTCATGTTGAGTCGGTAGTTCTCGAGGTACATCGATTGTTAATAAAAATGGTGAATTCGAGTAAAGTGGGATGAATCGAATTTTAGCTTTTTGCAATATCGATTTTTCTCGAAAACTATTGATTGTACGGGAAAATGAGAAAAAAACATTTTTGTAGGGATTTCAATCAGCTTGAAAAAATTCCTGTAATATTTCCACATAAAATCGATGGTTTTCGAGATGAATCGAAAAAACAATAAATGAGATTTATCTGATTCTATCCCATCGCTACTGAAATGAAAATCCATCCAAGTAAAACCTCTCGTTGCCTTCAATATAATTTTAATGTGACCCTTTGGTTTTATCATTACAATTTTATCATTACTCACTTTGTCTATGGAAAGAATATGGTGCCAGCTGCTTGTATGCCCTTTACCGTATCTCAATTATGAGATCTCGTACTCAAACTTGGGAAAATCCCACCACTAGAAATCATCATTTATTTTCCATCAGTGTATTTTTTATTGTTTACACGCACGAAAGAATTCATTGAAAAACCCAGCGAATCCGTGAAACGCTTTCAAAATTAAAAAAATTCCCTTTCCCAATGCCAGTAATTACTTCCCCAGAATTCTCTCCATTTCTATCTCCGAAAATCAGTGAAAAATTCTCTGTTAGAGACTGAAAATTAATCCAATTTTCCGAGTAGCTCAGAAATTTCTCTGGTTTTTCAGTGAAATATTCGTGCCTTATAAAATTGAATTCCTAACCTGAAACAATGGCAGATTTCCCGAAGACAAAAAATCACAAGAGACCCATGAAATCTAAAAATAAAAATATCCAAAGAATACTCCAGATGCCTCAGGCTGTAATCTAGATATAAGCCATGAATTTCCACCCCTAACCGAACGCAATTCACCCCTAAAAACTGGAAATATGATATTATAAAAATCTTGATGGTCGTGTATAAATGTGCTGATATTGGCTTCTCTGTTTCTTGTCTGTTTCTGTCTGTCACTGCCATCTCTGTCTGTCTGCATGCTGTGGGACGCCTGGAAAAATAAAAAAAAATCAATTTAAAAAAATAATACAAATCACCCCCAACCCTGACAATCAATTTTTTCGCTAAATCAGAGAACTACCACGGCTCTAACACAGTATTTTTAGTTGTTATGCTCATGTCGGTGGTAGGGGGTGTTTTCGTAGTATTTGCTCTGATGGCTCTCTGCTACAGGTCAGTCGTAGTACATAAAAACTTCTCCCTCTGTCTCAGGTTAGTGTGCAGATACATACACGTAGAACTTTCTTTCTATATCCTCTTATTTTTTACGTTTATTTCTTCACACTGGGAGATTAATCCATTCCTACCAAGAATCCTTTCTTACCAGGAGAAAATATATTTCTGGAACGTATTACGAGGGGTATTTTAACATTTTTATATTAATACATTTTTCGGGAACAATAATTGACTAGAATTATAAGCGCTTCCCGGAAAAATATTCAATTATTAGATTCAATGTCGATTAATTCAGTGCTTTGGAAAAGCATTTTCTTGTTCATTTGAGTTTATAAATTTTTCAGTTAATATAAAATTTATGGGTAAACCTAGCAGATTAAAACGGGCCGTGATACCTCGTTTGAATATTTCGCGCCAAACCCCATGTCCGCCATTATCCTCGAGTCGCCAGTGCTCAACAAAATGTCCGACCCTCGAAATCACTTCTCATGACAATTCTCTTTTAATCGAGAAATAAATAAATTCATGGCAGGACGTCGCACCGAGAAAAATAATTACTTTTGCTAAGTGAAATTACTATTCCCGAGAAAATGCATATTCTCATGCATCCACTTGTGTCAAGTACATGTAATTAACAGGAATGAGTTTGTTTAGGACGAGTAATTAATTTTCTCAGCGGACATGAGTTTCTCCGCATTTTAAATAAATTGCATTCCATAAAATGCGAGTAATTGTCCAGATCAATTATTTTGAGATAATCGAAATTAAATTCCGATGGTAATAATGATTTCTGATGATTAGAATTATGAAATCTCAACTTTGGAAAATCCGGAGATGATGGAAAAAAATAAAATACGTTCCGAATAATATTTTATTCTGTCAAGAGTATCAATTCTTGGGTGAAATGTATTTCTTTCTCAGTGCATTCAGCGTTTTTTTACGATTATTTACCCCGAATAAATTTACATTATGTGTATATATTTATATACCAATGTACGTTACGTGTCATCTCATCAATCTGTTACTTTGCTGATAATCCAACCCACGCGGATAAATTAATATTTTGAAAAATATCTAGAAAAGTATCTTGAATCGTTTCAATTTATACAAGAAAGATATAAACATTGTATTTTTATATATTCTTTATAGATTGAATAATAATTGGCCGATATGTTTTTATGTATTTTTCCATGGGAAACGTCTCCTCGAGGTTTCACTCCGATGAAAATTCGATAATTGTGCCTGCACTCTGACAAAAACAAAATCAATTGAATTTCAATCACGTGATTGCACATGCGTTGATTTTACACTGGGATCATCATTTCTTCTGGAAAATTAATAACTTGTTACGAGAAATTCGCGCCTCGATAATTGATCACGGGAAATTGTCTGAGTGAAAAAAAATCGTCGGTAAATTTTGGGCGACAGTGAATTTTCGGTAATTAATTTTTTTAAATGAACAATTTAGTGCAGAATCTCTCGACATTTTTCCTCTCAGGTATTTTCTTCTGATCAATTTTTGAATCGTTTTTTAAACAAGAGATTCATTTGCGAGGAAATTATTTTCTCTGTGCAATCGCTCACTATTCGCTTGCGCTTTTATTCTCTGCGGAGGAAAAATTACCGGAAAATTGCGGGAGACGCGCGATTCTCCGGAAATTTTTCCCATCGTGCAACGACACGGAGAACAATTGGGGGAGTGGGGGGCAATATGGAGATGTCTTTATCGAAATTGTTGGATTGTCTAAAATTATCATATTAATTAAATAATTTTTTCCATTGTCGGGTTATAAATTTGAATTTAATGTAAAAAAAACCATTTGTTTGACTTGAGGCATAATTTACAATTTTGTAATTGCAATTGACGATTTTTAGAAAAATCGTACATTTCGATTACAAAATCAATCGACTGATCGTCAAATTTTTGATCTATCGATTCATCTTTGTCTCAACATCGAAAAATGGCAACCATTTAGAATGACTCTCCGTTTTACCCCAGCATCCCCTATTTTTTGCCAAATATGGATTTATTTTTGAGGCTTTAGCCCGAAAATAATTCCAGTAGTGACTCAATAAAGAGAGGAAATATTACCGTACGTCTCTCGATTTTAATTTTAATTTGCTGAGGCATCGCGATAGGTCCAGTAGAATAGCTATTTTGGCTGCTGTCGAAAGTAATGAAATTTCACGGGCAAATTGCCATTATTTGGTGAATTTATTTCAAGTGTTAACCATTTCGCGGTAGTGTTAACGAATTATTAATTTTCGTGTTTACCATTGGCGCCATTTTGCGGGATCATTTGCCATCCGCATATGAGTTAATTAATTGACACTTGAATTATCAAATTTTCCATTATCTGACTGGATAATTATTAACCCCGAGAATAATACCGCACTATCGCAATTATTTCCTGTCATTCTCGCTAAATAAACATTCTCGATTTTCCATTGGAAAATAAAATTTGCAATTCAGTCCCAGGGAATTTTGGTATTCAAAATTGCCCTTGAATATTCTTCAGAATAATTTTATTTGTCGAAATAAATTGCGCGCTATTTTTCGGACAATTGTTGAATTGAAGAAAATAAATTGAATTGCTCCCCTGAAATGGAATTCCATTTTGATAATGAGGTGATTTTTTCCTGTTTTTGTTTAATTATCTCGGTGGTGAGTGGAGGGGTAAAAAAAAAATTAGCGAGAGGCACTTTATCTGGACCAAAAAGGCGCAAGCGCATGTCGGAGCCATGAGAAGCCGCAAAAATAAGAGCAGAATGACGCAAAACGGGGTAAAATCGATGGAGCCGTGACGGAATTTTTGTGCAGATATTTCTACCGAAAAACCTCGATTTTCAATAAATAATTACACCGCCAGTGCAGATTGCGCACAATTAATTCAGTAACGAAATGGTATAAACTAGAATAACAACATTTTTTCGAGTTTCCAGCCAATATCTCGGGACTGAGGGAACATAGCGATTTTTTCTTCTCCACATGTTTTGTAGATAAAGATGAGGACTGCAAAAAAGGTATTCATGAAAATATCGCTATCTTTCTCTGATTTCGAGAAATCGGCGAAAAACTGGCGGAGAGAAAATGTGCGATTTTCGGAGTTTACCATTTTGCAAGATAATTGAGCCCCGGACAGACAATATTGCACTGGTTCTTGTTATTGTTAAAATGTCAGATATTTTATGAACAATTTTTCGACGTGCAGTCACTGTTGTTTCCGTTAATTTTCACTCTTTGGGCGGCACGAAGGCCGCGAAACTTTTTGACAAGCTTGAGAGTTAAAAAATTATCCCATCAATCTGCACGCCAGGTTTGATACACCCTTTTGACTCCAGCACCTACGAAAGTTATTATTCATTTTCTCTCGGACGTACATCAATCGTCGGATAATCTCGTCAACGTTTTCAGCACTTGGGAGTCGCGTAATTAGAAACGCAAACATTCATTTTCAAATTGGTGAAATCCGGGAATTTATCTCCCACAATCAGATAAGCACTGGATCGGCTTATTTCGAGTGGCCATTTTATTTTGATAATTAATATTCCAAAATCTAAAGTCTAAATAATCAGAATATTAATTTATTTAAGTTTTCAGGATTCATTTTCTCGTTAAAGTTATGAACTGAAAAATCGTATTGTTTAAATTTTTATTAGTTCATTGTTCTCATTAAGTTATAATTCAAATTTTCATTTTTAACAGAAACTAAAAAATCGGGAATAATTTCGTCAGAGTATAGTAAATAAATTACCCAAGATTTATCGTGTACGCTTAATTTTTCCATATTAATACTAAAAAATGGTAATTCGAGGTCTCGTTAAAATGATAATTAAATCGCCATGTTGAAAAATTTAACCGTTTAATTATTCTCATTAAATTTCAATTGGAATTCTCTGTTTTCACGAACAAATAATCGCGAGACCCAGAAATCAATCGTCCAATGGAAAATTATCGGACGATTTATTTTCCGCTCCAGCAATTATTCATGTCTTTCATTATATAATTATTATTGCCAGCTGCAAATGTTTTTCCCCGCGGAAAATCACCTGAAAATTACTCCCGACGAGCATTAAATGACATAACCAATTTAATTTGCCATAAAAAAAGAAATCTAATATTGACATAAAAATAAAAATCAATATAAAAATACGAAAGGTGAGGGGAAAACCTCCGGGGAAAATTCCCCCCGGGAAAAACGAGTGAAAAATATCCGAAGGAAAAATTGTCGGATAAAAAATGAAGAGTAAAAGAATTATCCGGGATTTTTCAACGAAAAGAGAAAACTCCGCGTTATGCCCAACGATTTTAGGAAAATTCCAACTTTTCCTCACGACCGACAAAATCATTTTCACTAATTAATTTTTAAAAATCAAGAAAATAGGGAAAAAATGAGACGGAGCGCGACGAAAGTGAAAGCTTTCCAAGTGACAAGTGAATAGTTAAGAAAGTTATGAAAAAATAGAGGCCAGCTGCGGGTGTACCATTTGACTCGTTGAATGTTTATGCCACGAGATCAAATAATTAAAAAAATTAAATAAATAAAAAGCATGCAACATCCCGTGATTAGGTGGTAGCCCCGATAGCAAAAGTGCCCCGAATCCGAGAGTGCATAGAAAATATCAGCAGTTTATTTCAGTTTTTTTTTTCTTTAAAAATATTTGTTCAACACTCCATGGATTTCACACGGAAAAATTTCACTGCCCAGTAAATTCACTGGAAAGTAATTTATCATGTTCCTAAAACTGAAGTTATGATTTTGAAAAAGTTAATTATCATCTCGAGATTTCTGACATTCGAGATTCAGTCGGGAAATTGTGAAATTGAAATTTATCCATTGGAATTATTATTGCACTTAGATTGGATTTCCATTAATTATAATTCATTAAATTACGGATTATCGTTACAATGATGTGAATTGTCGTTTAGAAATGTTTAATTGCGATTGAAATAACGTGACAGAAAATTCCTGCGCGTAATTAACATTTTCAAAGAAGTAATTGTGGTAAAAAAAAACAGGTAAATTACCTTTCTGAATAAATAATGACGAGTAATATTTATCTGTGTGTAAACAGATCCAAAAACGATCGATTCCGCCATCGAATTTGTCCGCCTCGAGGAAGAATTCTGGCATGACAAACCCGAATGCACTCTGACGCTATTATTGTTTAATTGATTTTTTAATTAATTTATGACAATGTTATCCTTAGCGTGCATGCGCTTCGTTGTCCCGTGCGTTTTTTACATATTTTTTTTAACTGCATTCTAATTCCAATAACGATTAAGAAACATCGGGCTGTTGAATGGTGATTTTTAATGATTACTCAATGAAAAAACCCGCAGACGAAAGAGCACAATCCAGAAGTGCGATCCTCCGTACCAGAGAAATCCAAAACCAAAAACTTATACATCTATTCCGGGAACTCTACCACCGGAAAGTGCACCACTAGATGCCAACAAGATTTTGGCATTTGATTGCATGCCGCCATACAGGTAATTCAATTTTTTCTCCATTTTATTTTCTTGTAAAACAATTTTTTCCGAAAAAAAGTAATTTTTTTATTGATTTTTCCTTTATTCAAACGATAGTAATGACGATAACTAATGACGATGATTATTATTAATTATCAATGATTATTATTGTTAATGATTTTGAGATGAAAAATAAATTTTGAAATGTTAGGAGTTATGGAATTGGATGATTAAAGATGAAAATTGGGTTTTTCGAAAATGTTTATTTTATAAATGAGCGAATTTCCAGAAGTATTGGGAACTTGTCAGAATCTTTTACGCAAAAGTTGAATAATTTTTCAAAATATTGCAAAACTCCCGATTGTTTAAAACGGGTAATTTTTTAATGCTGCAGTTCTGATGCCCAACGCGTGCTGTTTCAATCCCAGAATAACGTCGGAACAACGGATGGGCCACGTCTGAAGTAAGTCACGTCTATCGAATCTTTGGAAACTAAAAGAGAAGAAAAAAATGAAAAATAAATCCACCAATTCCCCCATTGAGGGCTTTGGAAAGACAAAACTCGTAGGAAAAAAAAAGGGAAGAAAAATAACTGGGGCCACCGCGTTTCATTATTCATCATTCAAACGGCCTGAGGAAAAACCAACAAGAGCTCTGTACACTTTCTTTAAACTTTTCTCCCAGGAAATAGGGGGAAGAGAAAAATTCTGGAAAAATATTTAGGGTAGACGTCGAGAAAGTCGTTAAAAATTATTATTTTTATTCCATCGATGAAAAAACTCGTGTCTAAACGTTAAATCGCGGTAATTCGTCACGTGAAAAGTAGAGCAATTTCTCATGGTAAAATTAACCAAGGGCTCCGGGCTAATTGACCCATTTCTGTACGTCACTCTCTCGTTGACGATCGAATTTACCTCTGGATAAATTAAAATTTCGTATTCTCCAACTATTTCTTATTTCAGACACGGCCTTTTCATCACTCAATTAAACATTCAAATATAAGACAATATAATATACCCGAAAGAATACACGAAACGTGCGATTCTAGAAGTTCTCTCGGAAATTTATTGCGCAAATTTTCATCGCGAAATCGTTTTTACTCAATTATAATTCGAATTCGGGGTTTTCACAGCGAAAAAAAATCGGGAATAATTTATTCAAAGTATGAAAAATAAATTACACAAGCTTCCCTCGTTTACTTTTTATTTTCCCTATTAATATTAAAAAATGTTAATTCGAGGTCTCATTAAAATGATAATTAAATCGCTATGTTGAAAAATTTAATAATTTAATTATTCTAATTAAATTTCAATTGGAATTCTCTGTTTTCACAACCAAAAATAATCCCCGAGACCCAGAAATCAATCGTCCAATGAAAAATTATCGGACGATTTGATCCCCTAGCAATTATTCCCGTCTTTCATTATATAATTATTACTGCTGCAAATGTTTTTTCCCTGCGGAAAATCCCTGGAAATAGCACAACCAATTAAATTGGTCATTAAAAAAGAAATCTAATATTGACGTAAAAATAAAAATCAATCTAAAAACATGAAAGGTGAAGGAAAAACCCCAGGGGAAAATTCTCCCCGAGAAAAGCGAGTGAAAAATATCCGGGAAAAAATTGTTGGTGAAAAAAATGAAGAGTAAAAAATTTTCCGGGGATTTTTCAACGAAAAAAAAAATTCCGCGTTACATCCAACGATTTTATGAATATTTCAACTTTTCCTCGAAGCGACTGATTTTTTTTCGAGTTTCAATTCACCTGTGGATGCGTGAGAAGTTTTTTTTTTATTTCAGGGATCACAAATTACCACTGAAGAGGCTGGGTATGGAGGACGAGGATGGAGGTACGGGAGCCGAGGATGTTGTCTCTTTCATTGATCTCCCACCGAACAATCTGACAAAGTTGCCTGAGAAGGGAATTTTAAAGAAACATGGTGGTTACGGTATTGTAATACCAGAATAGTCCGTAGTTGCAAAAAAAAAAAAAAATGAAAGAAATGAAAATTTTCCTCTCAAAAGAAAGCCGAAGACACGAATTATACATTTTCGATAATCATTCATCAAGAATTCACCCAGGGAAATCTCTCATTTTTATTTGACTCATTATCTCCAAAATGATTTAATCAATTGAGTAATTAATATACGTAAACAAAGAACAAATGAAAGAGAGAAGAATGGAAAGCGACATTTTTAATTCATCTCGATATTTCAATTCATCTCGACCCAAAATTTTCATTTCATCAATTTTCATAATTTCACACCCCAATAATTATACCACTGATTGCAAATCGAATAATTAATTCTATTTCCCTCCACTTTCTCTAAAACCTGTTAAATAATTAATTATTAACTATTCTCTGATTTTTTCCGCATCATCCTGAAGTCTAGTTCCTCAATTCATTCGGTATTTTTAATTACTCATGATAACCGAATGATGAATGGCAAAACGGAGAAATGCTGGATAAAAATGAAATGAGTAATTTCTGTGGGTGTTCATAAATAAATATAAATCTCCATATTAACGAGAATGCGGTAATTGTTTTGCGTTGGGTCAGGAGGTTTGGACGACGGTCGAATGGTGGAGATGCAGAGGACACTGAACAGTTTGAACGGCTACCACGGGGCACTGGTGCAAACCCTGAGGACAGCAGCGATGCATCACAGCATGTCACGAGTTGCATCGGGCTCTGGTAATCTAATGAACGACGAGTCGAGAAAATCACTGGCTGATTGTGAATATCCGGATGCATACCGCAAAGTATCGATTGACAATGGACAAGACAATATCGATAACCAGGAGGACGATCCCGAAGAGGACGAGCCAACAACTTGCGGTCCAATACGCATACGATCACTTCACGATATTCTACGTCAGCTTGAGGTACATGCGCGTCACAATAGTCCCAGTGGATCTGAGGACATGAGGATATCCGAGGGCGAGGGTGATCGCCACTACAAAATGGACTCATCTGTCTGCAGTGAATCCTCACAGGGGTAAGTTCAATCTATCATTTGAAAAGTTTATACTACTGTTCAATTTGATCAACAATTTTTTCAAACTTTGGACGCTGTTGGAACAAATTCTCTATTTTACGAATCATTCCATTAAAAAAAAAATCATTAAAAAAATAATAAACAATTTACATGAAAATTATTCATTATTATTATTTATTGTTATCATTGTTACTGAGATTTCGATGGAAATGGAGAAATTTGCTTTTTCTCCTGCACATTTTTTTTTAATAACGATTTTTGGTTTTTTATTCAATTTTATTGGTGGAAGAAAATTCATGTAGAAATGGAATTTGATGGGTGAATTTTTTTTAACAGTGCAAATTTATTTATATCTGTATTCTATTGGCAGTTTTGGCCGCCTGGCTTTGGCCCGAGTATGAAACGGCTTTTGGATGATTGATCTTTTTAATTTTTAGTTGTCGATGCTTTGATGCTATTTCATTCTTTATCTCTAGGATTGTGAGAACAATTTGGGACAATTCCTATTCGCAGATGTATTGCCCAATCGTCGTGAAAGAATGATAATTATCTTGATAGAATTTGGAATAGTGGCAGGTTTTGAACTCACAGCCCTATTTATTATATTTAATTGCCGAGTGGGATAAAAAAAAGGGGAGAAAAAAATTCCAGGAGGGAGTTGTTTTTCCCGTGAAACGGGAGTTCTTTTCTCTCTGAACTGTTTATACCACTCGGATGTGTTGAATCTGCAATTTTCAATTTCTAAACGCTTTTTAGACGAGTTCAATTTGATTTCCGTACAAGTGCGTGGATTCACACTCATGTCCCCCAGCCCCACCGGTTCTAACGTGTGCGTTTAATCCATTGACGGCCATACCAAACTGTAAAATCAAAGCTATTCGAAAAACTGCGAAATGAAGTACCTCTGAAAGCCAGGAGGAATTTCGTGCGGTGATACCTCAGCCCAGAAGAGACAGAAATTAATTCCAGACGGCTAAAAAAAATTGTTCACTCCACAGAAACGGAATGAAGTGAATTTTAAATGATTCGAAAAAGACAAATCAATTTTCTGAGCGTTAAAAAATGCGAGGTGAACGATAGCTCCAACCGCCGCCATTTTGCGTTGATCTCCTTCTCTCGCAGGGGGTGTCCAGGATGGCCGCCGGCCACCTCGAGTATTTAATCAATTATTAAAGCTATTTATCCTTTTCAAATGACTCTCGCCTTATGTTTCCCTGTTCTTGAGGAGTGAACAATTTTTCAAAGACATTTCGCTGATTTTTTTCTTTCATTTTCGGCTGAGAAATCCGGGAATGGAGTTTTTTTATCCTTGTGTTTTCGCTTCTGAGGTCTTGCGAAGGGGAAAATGGGGAAAATACTATGGACGTCAATGGGTTAAATGGAGATTGAAGAAAAAAAAACGATTATTATGGATATATAATCCTCCTGCGTAGAAGCAGAAGGTGCAGCCGCGTTCGCGACGAAGATCCTAGACTTGTCTATGGCCGATATCGTCAACCTGCATCGCGAAGTCCGTACGGCACACATCAGCATATGCATCAGCATTCACATCAAATGCACGAGGAGGAGGGAATCTATGAAACTGCCGATCCTGACAGAGGCTCAAACACTAGGGGCGAAACGCCCGATAGCGAAAGGTATCGGTCGTCAATTACCAATCCCAGAGCACACGATGAAATTACAACTTGGGATAAATAATTACAATTTTTTTTTCCACCCCCCATCCCTCCTACCAACAATTTATTCAAGCCACTGGGAAAACAATTATCAGGGCCTCCCAGAGGCTTGGATACTCTACCGGAGGCTTTAGATTATTTATAATAATTTTGCTGTTGAAGGTAAAGCGGAAGAATTTCACAATTCTATCCAACCCGACTAACAAACGTCGGAGTTTGCGTTTTACTGAATAGTTGAAAGCAAAAAAATATCAGCCAACTTTTTAGTTTTTATTTTTGTGCATTCAACTACTGACTTATAATATGGATTTTTGAAAAAAAATAATAAAGAGTGTTTGGACTTCATGTCAAAGTATCCCGTTCTCTTATCCGGCGAAAATATCCAATTGAATATTATAATTTTTCATTTTTATTGATTGCATTAACTTTGAGCGTTAAATAATTAGTGGAAAATTGGTTACGACTTTCGTACTTCAAACTTTAGAGGTAGTTCTGGTAGTTTTCTGCGAAAATGTCAAAAGAGCTTTTGTCTCGGAAATTTAATCAGCTGCAAAAAAGTTTCTTATCACACTCACCTCAAGTCGATAGTCATCGAGATAAATCGATTAAGAAGTTACACTCGACTCACTCGACTTTCACCCCTTCACTTCTGCTTCTATTATCTCGGTAACAATTGATTTTTCGAGATTGTACCAAATGACCTTTTCTCTGGAAAATTTAATTATCTACAAAAAACTTCTTCACCACTTTCGCCTCACATCAACAGTTACCACAATATCAATCAATAAAAAATTAATTGAACTCGCTGCTCTAAAAAACCCACTCTTACCCCAGTTTTCCGTCGATATCTTGAAATTCAACGAAGCTATCGATATTTCCATAACCACTTTTTTCATAGTTCTCATCTTTTTCCACAAAAAATATCCCTACAAAAATCCGCTATCTCTCCTCAATCTCGAGATATTCCCAAAAAACTCGTACCAAAAACCGGTAGTCCAGCTGTTAGAAGAATTCTCGGTAATTCTTACTCAAAAATTGATTATTCAATGTTATAACTAAACAAACAATGATGAACAGCAGTGGATATTTTCGCGGCAATAGGTAGAGGAAAATAGGATAATTTGATAATAAAATGTCTCTTTGGCATGCTCGCAATTTTTTTAGCCGTCCGTGTTACCGATATAAATCCATACGGGGCTTGGCCATAATGTTGTTATTTTCTAGTGATGCATTTATTCAAGCTCAACAACAATTAGCCCGGTGGACGAGTGAGGATGGAGTAGAGCGTCGACCACCCCAGCAGCCGCCACCATCATCCAGCACAGCATACCCGGCATCGACATCACCAGTTAAAACAACAAACAATGAATTAAATATCCAGCAACGATTGCCGGAGGAACAACTGCCAATAAAACAACGCGGCTACTATCCATCACCACCCCACAATGACAACTGTCACGATAATGATACAAAGATCATAAAAAATGCTCAATCCCAACAACAATTAAAATTAATATGCCCCGAATTACGTGGTATCGATGTGAATCACACGCCTAATAATAAAAAATGCCCACTAGACGATAATACTAGTCGAGATTGTAACATAAATAATGGTAATTCAAATGAATTAAATACCAACAACACTAGTGATAATGAAAATACTGCCCTACTTACCCCTACGCATTTTCCTGAGTACAAGCATTGATAATTATTAAATCGATGACAGATAGTGTCCACACGACGAATGAATTTTAAAATTATTATTCATCCCATCGATGCAGCATGATTAATCAGGAGTATATATATGTATACATATATATATGAACAATATTGACATAGTGGTGTGATTTAATCTCGAACTCGCATTTTATACTGAATAGTGTAAATAACGATTTGAAAGAAAATAAGGAAAAAGACCTACAATTGCGACAGCAGGTATTTCAAATTATAATGAACTAAAATAATCTATATGAAATGTTTATTAATAAACATTAGGAAATTATTGAAGTGTGGCTTGTTGTTTTTTTTACCTCGTCGCTCCTTTCTTTCATTCCATATATTTTCGATTCAAATCCTCAAATCCTGAAAAATCTATAGATAAATTTTTTTCTCACCTCCACCCCTGGAGGTGATTTCTGATTTAATAAATTATTTTCTTCTTAAATTCGAATTCTAAGCAATTAACGGATGGTTCCCCACCGGGAGGCTGTCAGCCAAAAAAAAAAAAAAATCAAGAAATTGAAACCAAAAATTCCCGCGCTCTTCCGTCCTTTGAATTTAAAAAAAAACCGCGGCAATAGTCATTCCCCCGTCCACCAGAGCTCCAGAGAGAGTCAACTTCAGACTTCTCTCTGGAGAATTCCCATATACCCGCACGTGTCCCCGAATTATCCATATTTTCGGATAATGCAATTGCCCTGAGTACCTCCCAAAAAAGTTCAGAACAATAAATAAATTTCCGAAGTTTCCATTAAATTCTGAAAAATGAGTACAATACTGGAGAAAATCGCTGCGATCGAGCAGGAGGTAACCTTTCAATTATAAATCATGATCTTGATACTAAAAAAAAACAGCTCCAGGAGACGATGAATTAATGAAATAATTATACGCAGATGGGAAGGACCCAGAAGAACAAAGCAACTTCTGGCCATTTGGCTATGCTAAAAGCCAAACTAGCAAAACTTCGACGTGAATTAATTACCCCAAAAGGAGGCGGTGGCGGTGGTGAGCAGGGGTTCGAGGTCGCTAAAACTGGAGATGCTAGAATAGGATTTGTCGGTTTTCCATCGGTTGGAAAGTCAACTTTGCTCAGTACTTTGGCTGGAGTTTATTCCGAAGTTGCTGCATATGAATTTACCACACTAACGACTGTCCCGGGTTGTATCAAGTACAAGGGTGCTAAAATACAGGTGAACACTACCTCCCAACTACATTAGGAAAAGCAACTCTAGAGTTTTCCTCCTATATCTCGGAATCTGAAGAAGCTACCAAAATTTTTGTCCAGACACTTTTTGTAGAGCTGGATAAAAGCTAGAAAAAAGGTGATAACGAAAATTTTGGTGTCGGCTTGAGATTCAGAGATATTTCCAAAAACTCCAGTTATTTCAATTTCACCTTTTGCTACTGGAGTAATTGTTTTTGAAATTATCAGTTGCTTGATCTCCCTGGAATCATCGAAGGTGCGAAAGATGGAAAAGGAAGAGGAAGACAAGTAATCGCGGTGGCGAGAACTTGCAGTCTTATATTTATTGTTCTGGACGTGTTGAAGCCACTCGGCCACAAACGACTGATTGAGCACGAGCTGGAGGGCTTTGGGCTGCGACTCAACAAACAGCCTCCAAACATCAATTTTAGAAAGAAAGAAAAAGGTGGAATCAATCTCCAGACGATGGTAAGTCCCTCAGATAAAGGGGCTCCGGCTAAATGGACACTTAGACCCTAATACTCATTACTCAATATTTCATTCGTCCATTTGTCTAAATAATTATCAGCTCTCTGCAAAAACGTTATAAACCTTTTTTGCAGTTAATTAAATTCCGGAGAAAAAAGATCTTTTGATATTTTTTCCTAAAGTCAATAATTTTCTACATATATTCATTTTTAATAGCCAAAAAAATCGAAAATGATTTTTTTTTAATGGTAAAATTGTGTTTTTCTTAAAAAAAAGTTTGAAGTGTCAATTTAGCCCTCAAGTTCTCTGGATTGAAATAATAATCTTCGAGAGGAGAAAAAAATGAAAGAAAAAAAAAACAAAACCGAGTTGTTTTCATTAGTGTGCACAATCAGAGTTGGATTTAGATACCGTCAAGACGATTTTGGCTGAGTACAGGATCCACAACGCCGACATCACCCTGAGATACGACGCAACAGCTGACGACCTCATCGATGTCATCGAAGGAAATCGAGTTTACGTCCCCTGCATTTATTTACTCAATAAAATTGGTACGTCCTCATTTTTTCATTCATAATTATAAATCGAGAAAAAAATGAAATTATTTTGCAGATCAAATAAGCATTGAGGAACTCGATGTAATCTACAAAATTCCTCACTGCGTCCCAATATCTGCCCATCACAAGTGGAACTTCGATGATCTCCTGGAGAAAATGTGGGATTATCTTCAATTAGTTAGAATGTGAGTCCTTTTTTTGGCTATAGAAAAAAAAAGACATTGAATGGGAATTGAATTTCAGTTACACGAAACCCAAGGGGCAGTTGCCAGATTACAATTCCCCAGTGGTCCTCAATACAGATCGAAGAACTGTGGAAGATTTCTGCAATAAACTCCATCGATCGATCGCCAAGGAATTCAAATAGTGAGATTTATTTGATCAGTAATAGATAATAAAAAGATTACATTTGGATAAGTGAATTAATTCACCAGACGTAAATTTATATTAATCCCACGGATTGTTAATTATTTTCAGTGCTCTCGTCTGGGGCTCTTCCGTCAAACATCAGCCCCAAAAAGTCGGAAAAGATCACGTCCTCTGCGACGAAGACGTCGTGCAAATAGTGAAGAAAGTCTGAGTTTTTATTTTACTCGAGGATTTTATAAAAATAAAGAGATTGAATGATATTCAATGGATAAAAGATACAGTGAATTCAGCGAGAGAAAATATTTCTGTCAATTAAATTGACACATCAAATTTCAACCAACAGAAAATATTTCAGGAGTTTTGTGTTTCATTTGCCAGAATTCCCTTTTTTCTCAGTGATCTTTTATACGAACTGTAAAAAATGAACTACTGATGATTCTGATTTGCTTTATTGTAATATAATTATGGTAATAAAATGAACGCGTACGAATTATTGAAGTCTAGAGTGATTTAAGAATGTACTCCTTTCTCTGTTGGTCCAGCAATTTTTCCAAGTGATCGCACCTGTTTTTTGACTCGTCAGCCTGTTTCGTTATTTTATTTATCATCAGGTCTTTCTGGGTGACGATGAGTTTGATCCTGTTAATGATTTTATAATTACTCTTCAGGGTTTTTGTTAATATTCGAGAATTATTCACCTGCTGTACACCTGAGCCATGTGGCACTCTTTATTATTGTTGATCTCAGCAATTTCATTGTACAACGATGCGATCCTGTCCTCCAGCTCTCTCTTCTCGTGTTCAATCTCCTGTCTAGCTAAATTCTTCGCGTGATCTTTCTCTCTCGTCAGTTTCTCTACCACCTGAGGAAGGAGAACATCAAAATTCGTTTTAAGATTATTTGCAAAAAATAATAATTACACGTTCGGATTCCTTCAGGTCAGCGAGGCATTTTCCCAGTCTGTTCTCCATCTTCTCGAAATCAATCTGGAGATTCTCCAGCTTCTTCTCGGCTTTCGTCAATTTTTCCCTTGTCAGTCTCTCGTTGTCTTGACTCATCTGGAGATCAGCCTCGTATTTTTCTCTCAGGCATCTGCAAAAAAAAGTTTAAATTGTTTTGGAAATTTTATTCAAATTGGAAAGAAATTGAAGTAGAAAAGGTGAACCTCAATTTATTATCCGCACACTTCTGCATGCTTGTCTTCATGTCTCTCGTCTCTTTCTCTAGTCTCTCGATGACGAGTTCGATCTGTCTGTCCCTCTCACGATCGCACTCATCACGAATTCTAGCTTCTGACATTTCGGATTTCATGATCTGCTGTTTCTTGAAATTCTCGATTGACGAGTCCCTCTCAGCACTGAGTGTTTCCTTAAACTTTTGATTCTCTATCTCATTCTGCTTCACCAATTTCGCCATTTTTTCCTATAAAAAATCACCCAATAAAAAAATTCACTTGCCACTCAGAAAAAAAATCAAACCTTTTTTTTTCTTCCAGTTAAAAAGAGGGACTACTCTCCTAAAAAACGGATTTATTCTCCGAAAACGAAAATAAAAATTGAGTGCACCTGAAATTCCTCAGAGATTCGCTGGATCACAGCATCCTGCTCTCTTCCCCTCCTCACCAGCTCCTCAGAAAACGCCTTCTTCTCACTCTGGAGGTCTTCAAAGTACTTCCTCTGCTGTGCCTGCATGAGAGTCTCCTGCTCGTCGAATTTCTCCTGAAACCTGACCCTCAGGGCCTCTCGTTCGTTTGCTGCGAGTTTGTCGTGACTCTCTGTCAACTCCAATCGCAATTGCTCCAGCTGCTGATTGGATCTGCGAATTGTCCTCAGCTCGACGTCCTGGAGCTCCTTCATGTGAGCACTCCTGAGCTCCTGAATCTCCTGCTGGTGCTGATCCACCATTGAACGCAGCTCTGGTTCCAGGCCCTTGACTGTCATCTCCTGGAGATAAAAAAATTCCATTAGTTTTCTCGTGCCGTCATAACATTCCCAAAAATCCATTATTAAAATTTTTTATTTTTTTTTATCCATTATTATTCATGTTATCTCGTAATTAATATTTAATTCAACTTCACTTTAATTTTAGATGTCTTCGCTTCCAGCCACCGCTCCCTCCGGATTTTCTCTGAGGCCTGACATATCTCTCGTGCCCTCTGAATTTCTAAATTCTGCCTCTCCATGGCGACCTTGAAGTCCTTCTGGAATTTCGCCTCCATCTCCTTGATTTTTTGCGCCAAAACGTTGCACTTCTCAGTCAATTCCCTCTTCTCCTTGATCAACTGCTCGATGAACCTCTGGTGTCGCTTGATCACTCCCTGGTACTTCACCTTCTGCCCCTGAATTCCCTCTGCATGAGCCTTTTTTCCCTCCTCCAGCCTCTCACAGGCTCTCCTCCTCTCGTTCTTCAACTCATCTTTTAAAACTTTTATCGTCTCCTCTCGATCCTCCAGTTTTAACAAAGTCGTCGCCAATTCCTCTCGAATCACCTCAGGAGGAACTCTCCTCTCGTCCCTGTTCCTGAAATTATTGCATTATTATTCCAATTCGTTAGTATTTGATCATCTGAACTACCTCAGGATCGTGTCCTCGACGATTAATTCGCTTTCATTGAAAAAATCTGGGATCCTCTCGTCTCTCGAATCCCCGGAAGTGCTGTCGTGTTCGAGAGCTCCCAGAAACGTCAGGATGTCATCGTAAGTAGAACGAGCTGCTCTGACATCACGAGACTCGTCTTTTTCTGGTAGAATCTTCCCGAAAAATAATTTATTACAACAATGAAAAAATCCATAATTTAATTCCATGATAAAATCATAATTTCCTCAATTGAAAAATCAGTGAAGCGTTTTCTGTCGTGAGCTTTTTTATCTTCCCATCTTTTTTTACAATAATAATATTTCAGTCACCTGATCTGCTAAATTAACGCGTGCAGAGATCAACCCTTTTTCTACAGGAATAAATGAAGTGTTAACAGGCAAGATCTCGTGCTTGGGTTCGAGATTCTTCTCCAGGTCGTCAATCATGCTGCAGAGTTGCTGAAAGGAGCAGGAATCCGTCTCGATAACATTTTGATTGCAATCAGGAGTGCAATCACTCCCTGTCATCATCACCCCATCATCGATCTGAGACTTGGATAAATCCTGAGAGCAATCCAGACACTGCTTCCCTTCATTCTCACTGAATCTTCCCCTGGAATTCCTGGAACCCCTTGACCCCTCTCTCTGTCCACCCCTAGAGCTAGCTTTTAATTTATTTATCGGAGGTTTTTCACTAACTTGAGGGTGCACTATGTTAATCATCTCGTTTTATTTCGAGTCCCTCGACTTTTTAGTCCTTTTCGATGAGAAAATAGAACCGATTGATGATTAATCGCGTCTAAATGTTGCCAGGGGTGACCCCGGCAGATTTGAATTAATTAAGGAACGTTTCCAACGAATTTGTCGTCCACTTTTCAAAATCCACATGGCTCCGCTCATATTTGAATTTTTTTCGAATTTTTTAAATTGAAGTTTTTTCATTTCATAAATAATTACAGCCAATTATCTAACTGCGAATTATAATCGATTAAAAAATTTTTTTGATTCCTAGAGTTTTGGAAATCCCCGGATTCAGTGTTATCAATTTTTCTTCTCAATTATTACAGAATCCGATTGGATTCTGGTCAGTAATTTGTGGTCAGTTTTTATTGTTTAAAGTTAATAGAAGATTTGAAAAACTGGGTTTTGAATAATTTATGAGTTGGGAATAACGTTGCACAGAAAATTCCCTAGACTGCCATAACAGGTGTGAAAATTCCCTGTGAAATTTTGTACCACACCTGTCCACGTGGTTTCACACATCCCAAATGAAAAATATTCTTTCTAATGACTCAGTTAAACTTAATGCAACTCGAAGCATTCCTATCACTCGCCTCTGGTCGGTCGTTGTGTAAATAATCTAAAATTCTTTACTGTAATTGCGCATTGAAAAATGGCGGATGGAACAAAAAATTACATGTGGTTTCCGGTGATGATTGCCCTGTTTTACACCATTTATACAAATGATGTTTACAGAAATATAGCACATAGAGTGATAACAGGTGATGTGTCCGGTGCTTATGAAATTTATTCTAAGTATTCGGATGACGGAAATGTGGACGTCAGGGAAAAAAATCATGACGACGGAGGTGAGGGAATTTTTGACAGTCAGGAATTGGCGAAATTTTCAAATCCTCAGGACGGACTCTACTTGGCGATTTTGGGAAGAGTTTATGATGTCACTGGGGGAGAAAAACATTATGGACCCGGTGGAGGATACCACGGATTCATTGGTAAGTGTTAATTCGTTTTTTCAATAAAAAATATTTTTTATGTCAACCAATTAATTTTATTTGATGCTTCATATTTGAATTGTTCGGTGAAGTTTTCGAGGGAATAAAAAACGTCTCAGCGGAGGTTTGCTGATATTTTTTTTTTTAAATTACCAGGTGATAAAAGAAATATGTGAATATTCAAGAAGCCAGTGAGGAAGAAAAATCGGTTATTGTTTGAACAGTTAATTGTATAAATCATCAGAATCGTTGCTTCTCTGAGGAATTTTCCGTTATAATGAAATTGCGAAATGTACCACAAATTAACGTCAAAGTGTTATTTCTTCGTTTACATTCACTTAATAATTTTCAAGGCAGTGATAAAATGCTACAAGTGCCTTTTCCGTTGAAGCCACAGTTTATAAAATATTTCATAGTCTGAAAAATTAACATAAACATTTTTTTATGTAAGCCATTCTCTACAGACGACACAGATTCGTATTTTTCCGTTATATTCATTGTAATAATTGGAAACCCGTTTACTTTTATCGCCCCTGAATATTTTTCTTTTATTTTTTTCTCCCATTCTCATTCAATCTAAAATAATCGAATTAGTTGTTTTATTCAATAAAATAATTTAATATCTTTCAGTTTTATGGAATAATTACAATGAGGGGACAAATATTTTTTTTCGAATTTCAGGGAAAGACGCAACTTTGGCGTTCATCACTGGTGACTTCAATGGAGATCTGACCGATGATATTTCCAGTTTAACAAATTCTCAAGCGAAATCCATAGTCGGATGGATCAAATTCTATGACGAAAAATACGTGTACAAAGGTATTAATTCAATTTTCACCTTGATTTTCCAATTGTCATAAATAAATTGCTAATCATCTTCTAATATATTTTTTAAATGATATTTAAAACTGATAGTAAATGACATTTTGATTGAGAATTTGAATTTTTTGCCTCTAGGGAAACTAGTGGGAAGATTTTACGACGAAAATGGGAATCCAACAAGTGAATACCACGAATTTATGAGAAAAGTGGAGAGAGCAGATGAGGCAGACACGATCCAGGAGGAAATGAAGAAGAAATTTCCACCCTGCAATGTAGAATGGAAACCAGAGGATGGGACGAGAGTCTGGTGTTCACTCCAGAGGTACTCTCCAATCCCAATTACGAATGAATAATTGAAAACAGAATTTATAGAGATTAATTATATGTTCCAGTGGTGGAATCTCCAGGGACTGGGTAGGAGTTCCCAGGCTATTCTTCGAGGAGCCCTCAAAACCAAAAAGCAGATGTGCCTGTGTCAATCTCCAGAGCTCTGACTTCCACGAGCATCAAGCAAAGTTCAGAGAATACCAAGACTGTCCAAAAATCTCAAGTACCTGTTACGCAAAAGTGTAATGATTATACAATTAAGAGGAGAATCCTCAGATTCCTAGCTAAAATGGATAAAATCTCAGGAAGACAATTATTTCACACCGATCACTTAATTAGCGATTTCTTACCATGACAATGTGCTGTAATGAAAAAGATTATTTTGTGAATAAAAAATACTGAAATCAGTCTTCCCTCTATGAAAAAAATCACGAAAGCTCCTAAATTCAGGGGAAAAAAACACGTTCATCATGTTTCTGTGTCGAAAAAGAAATTTATTTCGGCAGTAAAAAAATGGAAATTCATGCAAACAGAATTTCACTCTTAACTTTTGACTCTAGCGAGAGATCTTAATGATTAATCACTAATGAATGAAAAATGCAGTTTCTAACAACATACGAAATAAATGATTGAACCGTTCCTTATCATAAATTAGATTAGTATCAAAGAAATATCGATTGAACATTTCGACAGTCTTCTATCACTCAGACACAATTATTTACACAGTTAATGTTTTTTTGTAGTTGACATCGAGTTTTTTGTATCTTACTCTCATTCAATTTTCTGATAAATGTAGTCATGTCAACACTCGCTGGTTTTGCACGGATTTTCGATCCAAATGCTCGCTTTATCTTCGCTCGTCTCTTCCTCATCTTTGCCTCATTCGTTTTCTGATTTATTGGATCGAAAGTTATGAATCGTCGGAGCTTCCTGCCCTTTACCAAAGTAGAATTATCACTCATTCCATCGATCTCCTCGTAGATCGTTTCCAGAGTATTCTGATTCTTCTTCCATGTCTTGTCCAGGTAGTATTCACGAATATCTCCCTCACTCTCCATTGTCGAGTAACTGCGTTTCTTCGGTTTAATGCTGCATCTGTAAATTTCGAAAATGGTACTCTCTAAAAAAATCCGAGAAAATTCTTTTTTTGCATTCTGAATTTTCGTAATACCTGCGATTTAATGACTCTGTCGTTTGTGTCATCTTGGGGTGTCTCTTTCTCATTGAATATCTATTTTGTCTTCCATTCGTTTCACTGTCAACAGTCAACGACTCCATACTAGCAACAACGTCTGGTAAATTTACACTGCAATCAATTCCACTGGAAAGAAACATTTTATGATTTTATAGAGAAAAAAATATTATTCAAAAACCAATTGTTTGCATTCCCAAATATCCGAGGACATCGGCCATCCAGTGCATTTTTTATACATTTTTATTTAAAAAGGATGTTAACAAAATACAGAAGAGCAATACATCTTCGACACAGCTTTATAAATAATGAATAACAAAAAAAATTCAATAAAAGTGAATGTACCTAGCCTCTGCAATCATTTCAGCCATCATGATCTATTCGTTTCCATAAAAAAACCGTCACTCCCTCAAATCATAAATAAACTCCATCAATTAATTAATCATTCAGCAGTAATCCCTCTGTAATAACAGGAAAAATCCTCAAAATGTCAGAGTCCTGTTGCCTGTCACCACCAGAAAGGTTTGCCAAAAAAATTGAACAAAAAACGAACTATCAGTAGAAAAAATCCCGAGAAGATAACAGCGCAATGAAAAAACCCCTCTAACCTCAAACTTCAAAAAATATCTTTCTAAAATGTTCCAGAAATCCCCAAAACCCTGAAATTCCACAAAAAAGGCCAAGCAACAATTTGGAATGAACAGAACCTCTTCCACTAGTCTTGGTATCAACAAACGCTGAAATGCAAGTAATTACGCAATTCCATCATGAAAATTCGCCCAAAGTTTTAATGACGACAGAAAAATTATTATTTTGACAACCCGGTTGATTATTCAGTGACGTGCATCGGTTTCAGCTAGCAATTATCTTTCCACCGTGATTGCAAAATACATAATTATAAAAAGGGAATATTAGTAACGAACATCAAATGAATCGATATCTCGATTTTCTTTGGGTTTGAAAAGTTAATAATATAAGTGTCATGGAGGACGTTCTGGATGAGGTTGTATCTTCAGAAGACTTAAAAGTGAGCAATTACTCGACTAATTTTTCCATCCCCCCTCAACAATCCCCACACATGCACTCATTAATTAACTAATTAATCTTCTCATAAAAGTCAACATCTCTGAAACGTTCCAGTAATTTTGGAAAATTTTGAAAACGTGAAGATTTTTGGTTATGAGTTGCGTCATATCTCAATTAATTGAATTTTAGTCCTTTTGATTAATTAATCGATGGACGATGACTAATTAATTTCTATTGGTTGTCTGGTTTAATTGAAGATAATTGATTGATTACTCATTATTGTTAAGAAATTCGAGAGAATATACAACGAGCAGCTGAGAACATCGTCGGTGACTCAAAAAGTTCAATTCGAATATGCCTGGTGTTTAGTGAGGAGCAAGTACCCAGCAGATATTAGAAAAGGAAACGTTCTACTTGAAGATTTATTCAATAATCACGGAGACAGTGAAAAAAGAGATTGCCTGTATTATTTAGCCATTGGAAATGCACGAATCAAAGTAAGACTATTTCTCTCCAATAATTCAAGCTTTTCAAATTGCAAAATGGATTAATGTTTTTTCACTGTAATTTTTTATCACCCGAAAACAATAGATTTCTGTTATTTTTAGTATTATTTCAGGAGTGAGTGAAATTTTTTACCATTGTGAAAATAATTCAAATTTCAGATTTTTCACAGGATTAAAATTCACAGACTTTATGAATTTCTCGTTTTATTTATTGGTCCCGTTTTTAGGAGTATACAAAGGCTTTACATTACGTCAGGGCATTCTTACAAGTGGAACCCGGGAATCAACAGGTCCAGCACTTGGAGACCCTGATTAAAAAGAAAATGGAAAAAGGTACACGATACACTCACCCCAACGTACCAACTTATTAAATTCGTTGACAACTCTATGAATAATTTAATGTGGCAATTTTCTTTTAAGAGGGACTAGTCGGTATGGCGGTAGCTGGTGGAGTGATCGTGGGTCTCGCTGGCATCCTGGGTCTAGGGATTGCAATGGCCAAAAGCTCCAAGTCTTAGCTGGTCAATGCTGCACCCTGCTTGTACCTGTACCAAAAATTGTAACAAAGAATTCATTATCCTCAAAAAATCATCGAAAGTCTCCGAAAATTGTCTGCAAACCTGTGGAATTCTTTGAATAATAAAATATCTTCAAATAAGTTACGAGCAACACGCGATGAGTCCAAAATTCATCCATCTAATTTTGCTAATATCTCAGGAACTGTCATGCACCCAAAACTCATGAATTATTCTTAATTATTGCACACTTGATGAGAAAGTATTCATTCAATTTGGAATTGAAAAAAAAAACAAAAATTTCGTTAAGTATTCATTTATTTGGGTAATTGCTGGGTCTGGGGGAATTACATAAACTATTTAAAGGAATTAAATTTTCAAATAAATTAATAAATATCTAGATATTATCTGCCGAACCTCATCACTTGGATTATTTTTAAAAAATACGGATATTATGGACTCATCTTTCATCATTTAAATCTGAAACTGTAAAATTTAGTTTAGAATTGAATTTAAATTGTTGGAGACATTCCAAACGCCACAAAAAAAATTAAAACAACTTTGTCTTCTTTCTTTCCGACTTACAGCTCTGTTAAGTTCTTCGTATAATTTTGAAATTACGAAAAAAGTAATATAAAGGCAATTAACTAACTAGGTGGAATTTTTGTATAAAAAACGGAACGAATTCCCAATTTCCTTCAGTACTATTCTTTTCATGATTACGAGTGAGAGAATGAGTTAATTTTCGATTGAATATTCCGGAAATATCAGTAAATATTTCCATAAACTGTTTCCTCACTTCGTTTTTGAGATTGAAACTCTTAATTTCATGTGTTTTAATTTGTTCCTATGATTTTTGTAATTCAATGAGAATAAAAAAGTTTTCAATTCCAGTGAATACCTCCTCGATTTTCATGCTCCCCTGATACATTTTTGAAAACTTCGAATATAGCTGAAAAATGACGTCGATTCGTCAGGAATCCAAACTTATCGATAGGGCATCTTGTTGCACGTGTGATGTTATTTTCACATTGATTCTTCCCCAGAATTCCGTTTCAAGTGCTTAAAATATTTATGTGAATCATTTATAAAGCACCATCGAATAATTATTGATAAAATAAAAATATAAAAATGGTGGTGATTGGGAAAAAAAAGGTAAATCATTGAAAAACTCTCCTAGTGCTACGCATTTTGGGGTTATGGTTCACTGAATGCATTGCTACAATTATTTATTAATAGATTATAGATATAATATAAGATAAATAATAACAAATTTCCAACAAATTTGCATTACAGTATCAAACCGGAGAGGGTGCACAGTTCATGACCCGAAAAGCCGCTCTAAAAAAGCTTCAATTATCGTTAACAGAATTCCGAAAGTTGTGTATATTAAAAGGGATATATCCAAGAGAACCGAGAAATCGTAAACGTGCCCAGAAGGGAAAAAGTGGTATAAAGACCCTATACCACGTCAAAGACATTCAATTTCTGTTGCACGAGCCGATAGTATGGAAGCTACGAGACTACAAGATTTTCAATCGAAAGGTTGGACGAGCAAAGGCAATGAAGGACTTTGCAGCAATGAAGAGATATTTGAATAATCATCCAACCCTAAAACTCGATCATATTGTCAAGGAGCGATATCCAACGTTCATTGACGCCTTGAGGGATTTGGACGACTGTCTAACACTCTGCTATCTATTCAGCACATTTCCATCAATGGCCCACGTCCCAAGAGATCAATCTGCCCTCTGCAGAAGACTCACTGTTGAGTTTATGCACGCTTGCATTGTAGGAAATTATCTGAGAAAAGTTTTTGTGTCCATCAAGGGATACTACTACCAGGCAGAGATCAAGGGACAGACCATCACCTGGATCACTCCTCACCATTTCTCTTTCGAACCTCAGTCGAAAACTGAGGTTGACTTTAGAGTCATGTCGACGTTCGTTGAATTTTATATCACAATGCTGGGATTTATCAACTTCAGACTTTATCACCAGTTGAATCTCCATTATCCGCCCAAGTTTAATTCCTACGGTAATAACGAAAAATCACTTGTCGACGAAGAAGCTTACGTATCGGAGCGAATAGGCGCTCTCAACATTCCTCTGATCCGCTTAGACCCGACCACCCAAGCTGCTGAAGAGGAAGACGTCGACCTCGACAATTTTTCCACTGAAACTGACGAAACAAAGCTCGAAGAGGCTCGTGCTGAGGCAAACAAACTAAAAATGCTAAAAACCCTCTTCCAAGGAAAAAAATTCTTTCTAAATCGTGAAGTGCCACGAGAGCCTTTGGTGTTCGTCATTAGATGTTTTGGAGGTGAAGTTTCCTGGGATAAACTTTCCTTCGTTGGTGCAACATTCGATGAGCACGATGAATCCATCACTCATCACATTGTCGACAGACCTAGCATGGATAAGCAGTACATTTCAAGATACTACGTTCAGCCCCAATGGATTTTTGATTCTGTCAATGCCAGGGAACTCTTTCCTGTTGATAAATACCTGATGGGGGCTGTATTACCACCTCATTTGTCACCTTTCCATAACGCTCAGTTGGATCAGGTGTACATACCCCCAGAGGAACGTGCCCTCATGGATCCATCATTCAAGTTGAATATTGGAGGTGATGAAGAGTCTGAGGATGAAGAGGAGGAACAAGAACAAGGTGAAGAGACTGGCGAAGATGAGGAGATTATAGAAGCCACTGATGAAGACGAGGCGACAGAGGATGACGAGGATGATGACGATGATGAAGATGAAGAAGATCGCGGTGACGATGGCGAAGGAGAAACGAGTCAGGGGAGTAAAAAGCGTGGGCAGAAGCAAATGGCACGTAACGCTTTACACGAAGAGAAGGATCAGCCGAACGATAAAGAGCAACAGCGAATCGCCAAGACAAAAGCAATGAAGGTTAAACCTGGTGCACCTCTTCACGAAGATCCTTGGGCCAGGGCGAAACAAGAGAAGCAGGAATTTCGACTGCGTGAGAAAATGGTGCGGAAAAAACACAGAAAGTTGTATAAGAGCATGATGGCGGGGCGAGAAAATAGGGCCAAGGAGATTTGGCTTTTGAGAAAGAAGAGGAGAATTCATGAGGAAGGAGAAAAAGATAAGAGGAAAGAAGAGAGAAAATCCAAAAAACTCAAATGTGTTTGATTATATTTTTTACCTGTATTGAATCACTGAATAAAGAGAGATGAATGAATAGAAAATAACGAGAACAATTTTCATCATGTATTTTTTATTTTCTCTTTCTTCGACAGAGGTGAATCACAGGTGGATTCAAAAGAAGGAATATCACTTAAAATAATTAATTGAAGTATTAAAAAAAATATTTAAAAAATTGAAAAAGCTATCGACTCTTTCATTTGACGCATGTATTTTTTTTTCTAATCTCATAAAGGTGTAGGATTTTTCCCTTCCTTCGTTTATCGCTTAACTATCGGTTAAGATTACAATGGTATAAAGAATCGTATAAATGTATAATAATATTTATATTTCTATGTATTTATATTTAATGACGCCAGCTCGCCGGAGAAGCGATTCTTCATTTTTTATCAAATTTTTTTCCATATTTCTCATCTACTTTTTATTCCCCCAAAAAATTATAAAACGGTCCTCCGTGCGAGCCGAAAGTTTGAGCCTTTTTTTGAGTTGCGCGTTCTTCCACATTTGCTTTTAGTTTTTTTTCTCACCACACACTTGAGTAGCTACGTTTAATCACGTGTATGTTTACATGAAGAATATTCATTTTTCGTATAAAACTCTTCGAAGCTGAATTTTCACTGATGAAGATAATAAACGTGGAAGAGATATAATTTTGAAATAATCATGTTTTTTTTCTCAATCGAAAAAAAAACTGTAAAAACGGGAATTATCAGCATCAATGATAATTGAGCTGTGTCGGGGCCACGATTTGTGCCAGAGACCGAGTGCAATACTTCAAGAGCCTTTCAAAGTATTTATATGAAAAAAAAATTGAATAAAACAAACTAAAAATTATTAACTAGGAAAGACTCTCAAGGTGCACTAAAATGGCAATTAAAAGAAATGTGAACTCTTGAAGATCCACGTTACTGACACATATCGTGGCCCAGAGGACTATCTAAACAACTCTAATTCTCCAATCCTCCGAATCCTCTTTACCATTAAATTATCATTATTCTTTTTCTTTATCCTGACAAAATCGATGAGAGCGCTGGCAGAAATGCTTGATATGCCATTGATTCCAAATCAGTCGTTATTATTTTGCGGTTTTTCCCCCACCCATTTCTATCGATTCTTACCGCATCCATGGGATGTCGACGAATCTGAGCACTGGGTTATTTTATTCCCTACGGTATTCTGGACACCTTCGGGCACTGATGAAGGCACAGTACACAAGTCTTCCTAAGTTCTTCTATTTAAATACATTTGCCTCCCTCATCGTCCTTCAATGCAGCATTTTGGCACCAGGAAACGCGCTTATTCTTCATTCATCATCATCCTTCTGCATCTCTATCCTAATATATTTATATATAAATGTTAAACGTTTACGCTTTCAACCATTCACTCCGGACTGGACAAAAATTAAAAAAAAAGATTGCACACTGTTTAAATTGTTTCTTGTACGTATCATCGCGAATTACGTTTATCATTTTGAAATATTCTCCGTTCGCTCAGATTCACTTTTATACACATACGCTGCTAATCATATTCACGTATCATTCATACCTATTTTTTTCAGCTCTATTAAGTAATTTTTCGATTTTTTCGTTAATCATTTTTGAAGAGGAGAGTTATTCATCGACTTTAGTCGAGGGATTGTGGATTGGCTCATCTCCTCTTCTTGGCAGTTGCTGCAGCAATCATTTGTCGTATGAGCGGCTCGGGCGCACAAGGGAGTGGATCACATTTCATATTACCGTCGCTGCCGCATCTGCAAATAATTCATCATATTTAGAAATATTAATTATAGATGATTTTTCGATTGATCGTCATTCGATTTTTTGTGAGGTGAAAATGTTTGAGGCGCGGTAACCCGCGTGGATTTCGTCAACTCGAGCCGCCAAATTCAAATTTGGCGCAGGGGCTCTAGCCACTTCTTCGTTTCACATTTATCTATATATAATATTCATAATTAACGTGTAATTAACGGTCAACTTACTTGCACTGTAAACACGGTCCAGACGCTGCTCTAATGACTTCTCCAACTCCATACGCCCGTCCCTTGATTTGACATCCACTTCGTCTTGTCGCTCCCTTATAAGCGTGGGGGAGGAAGTGAGGTGGTAAAGTCGTCGTCGTTGTCGTCGTTGTCGTCGTGACATTGAGGGACGTTGCCATCGACACATGACACTCATAACGTGGACAACAGAATCCACTGATTGGTTCCTCATGACACCCAGGTATAGGTGGTGGACAACTCTGCTGCAAACATATGATATCACTTCTGAAGCAGAAGCAGAAATCGCAGGGATCGTCTCTTGGAATTTGTTGAGCCGAGACGTAAACCTTTCCACCGTAACGACATGTGCCAGGTCCATAAACAGCTTGATCATCCTCGCCGTAGTCTTCATCGTGATCGAGATAGGTTCCACCATTCACTGGGAAATTGGGACTCTCCTCGCCCGTTGCTTGATCTGGATATTCATCAGCATGGTGTGGCGGAAGGGAAGTGCTTGATGGATAGGTCGGGTGTTCTGGTTCTTGAGGCTCGTGCTCGACGGGACTGACTGTTTGCTGAAGATCTGGTTCTTCTGACTCGTCCGGGAAGACTGGCACCTGAACTTGTTGCTGATCGTCATCGATAGGCTGCGATGGTTCAGATGGTTGTTGAGATGGGATAGGCTCTTCCTCAGGCTCGACTGGCTTCTGTTCAGAGTCTATTTCAGGTTCACGTGTCTCCTCAGTCGATGGAGATTTGGTTGCAGCTGTTTCTTCACCACTGGGGGATGCCTCAGATGGTTGTGGTGTTTCTTCTGGTTGAACTTCTCCTGAGGTCGATGTTTCTGGGGACTTGCTGGCATCTGTTGTTGGTAGTTCTTCTTCTCCAGGGATGGGAGAAGAGGACGGTAGATGATCAGCTTCTGTTGAGGAATCTTCGGGACTTGATGAAGTGGTCGCTTCCGACGGCACTGAAGTCCCTTCTTCGAGAGACGGAGAGGTTTCTTTGAATGGCTCTGGGGTTTCGCCGAGGCGGGTTTCCGTTGTCACAGGTTCACCGACCGGAGTTTCAGTGAGGTTTTCTCCTGTGATTGGCGCTTCAGTTGGTTTTGATTCGTCCACTGGAATTTCGGAGGGTATTCCTTCTTCTACTGGGGCCTCTGATGGTTTTTCCTCTTCTACTGAAGATTCTGTTGGCTTCGCCTCCGAAATCGCAACTTCTGTTGGTTTTTCTTCTGAAACCGAACCTTCCGTTGCCTTTTCTTCTGAAATCGTACCTTCCGTAGGTTTTTCTTCCGAAACTGGACTTTCCGTGGCTTTTTCCGCTGTAACTGGTCCTACCGTGGGTTTTTCTTCTGAAACTGAACTTTCCGTCGGTTTTTCTTCTGTAACTGGAACTTCTGTCGGTTTTTCTTCTGCAACTGGACCTTCCGTAGGTTTTTCCTCTGAAATTGGTGCTTCAGTCGGTTTTTCCTCTTCTACCGGAGTTGCCGTTGGTTTTTCTTCCAAGATGGGGCCTTCAGTTGGCTTTTCCTCCTCCACTGGAGTCTCCGACGGGTTTTCCGGTTGCATTGAAATTTCTGTTGGTCTTTCTTCCAGAATTGGGATTTCAGTTGGTTTAGTTTCTTCTGCAGGAGCCACCGACGGTGTCTCCACTTCTACTGGAGCATCCGTTGGTTTCTCTTCAGAGATCGGCTGTTCAGTCGATTTCTCTTTTTCCACTGAGGCCTCCGATGGAATTCCCTGATCTACTGAAGATTCGGTTGGCTTTTCTTCCGAAATTGGCTCCTCAGTTGGTTTCTCCTCTTCCACTGGTGCTTCCGTCGGTTTTTGTTCATCGACTGTCGCTTCTGTTGGCATTTCTTCCACAACTGGTCCTCCAATCGGTTTCTCATTTTCCACTGGAGCTTTCGTTGGTACTTCATTATCAAGCTCAGCTTCCGTTGTCACTTTTTCCGTAATTGGTCTTTCAGTTGGTTTCTCCTCTTCTACAGAAGCTTCTGTTGGTTTTCCTTCCGATATCGCACCCTCCGTTGGTTTTTGCTCCTCGAGTGGCGCTTCAGTGGATTTTTCTTCTGAAATTGGGGGCTCTGTCGATTTTCCTTCAGTTGTCGAAGACTCGGATGGTTCTTCAACTGGGACTTCAGTTACACCCTTAGTCACATCGTCTCCTGGTTGTCCCGAAGTAGCAGATGTTGGTGATTCTTCTGGCAATTTTGTCGCTTCATCAGTGACACTCGGAAGTTCATCGCTCGGTCGTGAAGTTTGATCCTCAGTCGGTGCACTTGGGGTTTCCTCAGCCAGTGGAGTCTCGGTTACTAGTGATTCTGTAGATTTTTGGGTGGAGACAGACGACTCAGTTGGTTGTTCCTCAGGTGCAGAGGTTTCAACCTTTGGTTCTTCTGTCGATTCTGGCTTCTCTTCAGGTTTGGCTTCGGTTATCGATGATGGCTCTGTTTGGGCTTCAATCGGTGCTTGCGACGGAGCTGTTTCAGTTACTTCGGACTCTGTAGCTTGCTCACCTTGAGTTGATTCTCCGGGAGTTCCTGTTGGAACTGCAGTAGCTTCAGTCACAGCGACTGTAGTCTCTGATGTCTCGAGGGGCTCTTCGGTTTGTTGTGAAGGAGTTCGCTCAGTTTGAGGCACTTCTTTATCACTTGGAATTGCCTCTGGTCTCGTTGTTTCAGTTGGAAGCTCTTCGGGTTTGCTTTCTTCCTCAGGTTTCGGCTCTTCGGTCGGAACATCTGAGGGTTTTCCCTCACTACCTGGTGCAACCGTCGGTGCACTGGTGGCTTCATTTGGTGTTTCTTCTGTTTCTTTCTCTTCAGCTTCAGGAACGGTTACTGACTCAGTTGAAGCGGCTAAAATCGGCGGTTGGCTTGTCGAGCTCACACTAGATTCAGTAACATCAGCCACGCTTGTTTGTGCTTCCACTGTGCTTTCTGTAGATGGCTCTTCAGGTTTCGAAGTTCCGGCCTCATCCGAGATCGAGGGAGATGAAGTCTCAGTGGAGATAATCGGGGTTCCTGTTGTTTCTGCTTCAGGCTTCGTTACGTCTCCTTCAGGCAATGCTGACTGTTCAGTACTGACTTCTTTGTTCATTCCTACAGGAATCTCCTCTGCGGGAGTAACCCCTCCTTCATGAACTGTTGGCGCATGAGTTTCTTCCTCAACTGTCGGAGTATTTGTGGATTGCTCAGGTGAAGTCTTAGGTTCTTCAGAGGGCGGTAGTTCTGCGGGAACCTCTTCTGATGTACCAGCGGTGGAGGGAGTTTCCTCGGTAGGTTTCGATGTTTCTCCTTCAACCGCCGCAGGAGTTGCTGTCGGAGTCACTGAAGCTTCAGTCTCTTCCTCAGTTTCCGGAGCTTTGCTGTGAGTTTCCACTGGAGTTTCAGAAGACGTTGGTTTTACCTGGCTCATACTGGTCGGCTGTTCGGGAGTCACCGTTTGATCTTCTGGTATACCTTCCATCGGGACTTCAGTTGCCTCCACAGGTTTTTCGGTCTTGTCCAGTGGTTTTTCTTCTTCAGGTTTAGTATCTTCACTGGTTTCTGTTGAGGGTGCAATACCAGTGGAAGCAACGGTGGCCGTTTCTTCAGGCATTGTCATTCCAGTGGAACCTGATTCATCAATCTTCTCAGTACTGATCATTCCTGGCTCGACCGTGTGCCTCTCAGGAATTTCAGATGGTTCTTCTGGTGCAGCGGACGATGGTCGCTCCTCAGGTGCAATGGTAGGTTGTTCGTTACTCGCAGGTTCTGCAGGAACCGAAGGTGCTCCTTTCTCTTCTGTAATTTCCGGCGTGCTTGTCTGTTGCTCCTCGATTGGTGTAGATTCTTGACCTCCGGTAACTCCAGTAACTTGTTCAGTAGCGACTACCGATTCTGTAGTCTCAACTGGTACATCTGGGCTTGCAGTCGTGGGAGATGGGATTTCTTCTTCAGGCGTGACATTCAGAGTAGGTGTTTGTGTGGGTGTGTCAACCGTGGGTGCTTCAGGTTTGTCAGTTGTCTGTTCAGGCATGTGAGGAATCACTGGCGTCTCACCAGTCGGCACTTCTGACACCGATTCTTGAGGAGTCTCTACATGAGTCTGTGGTGCCACTGTCTCTTTCTCCACAGGAGACTCAGCGATTGTTGGCATTACTGTGGCTTCAGTCTTATGTTCTACACCTTCTTCAGGACGCACCGTCGTCTGACCCATTTGATTATCAGATTCAAGACCAGAAGTTGGTGTTTGCTCGCATGCGTATATTGGACAACAACCAGTCGCAGACGGAAGTGGCATGCAGTTATTCATATCTGAAGATGGAGGTGAACATTTGACAAGTTCACAGTGCACTATGCTGCTGATGCAGTGACAGGTCAATTGGCAGGGATTCGAGGGTGGAATTGCTGTATTGTTATTGTAACTCTGTCCGTCAACTAAACAATTTCCTTCTCCTGGAATTCCAGAGGGTGTGTATGCTGGGAAATCGGGGACTAGAGTATCCTCTGCAGGTGCTGGTGTTTCAGGCGACAGAATTTCAGGGACAGGTGTTTCTCCCTCTGGTATCTCCGGCAATTGAGGTTGGACTGGTACCTCTGCAGGTTCTTCAGGCGTCTGTTCCTGCGCGGGAGCCTCAGTACCCAATTTATCTTCTGCAGTTGTTTCCGGTGTAGGCTCTGACGAAGACGATGGAGTTGCTTCACTTGTCTTCACCTCAGGCATCTCTGTAATTTTCTGTTCAGATCCTTCTGTGATGTTCTCGTCCGGTTTCGCAGGTTCCACAGGTTCAGTCGTAGCCTCCACTGCAACTGGTTCGATTGTTTGTTTCGCAGGGATGACAGATGATGGCTCATCTGTTGCAGCCTCCGTTGCCCCATCCGTAACAGTTTCTGGTTTATCCGATGAAGTTTCACTTGGTTCGCCACCGATAGACGATGGTTCCGTCGAAATCTCAGGTAGTGGTATCTTCGCTGCTCCTTCAGTTGGGCTTTCCGTCTGTTCTTTCGAAGGATTGGAAGTTTCAATTTCTGGGGCAGGCGTCATTGGTTCCTCAGGTGCCGACACAGATGATGTTCCCTCAATTCCATCCTCAAGCTGTTGTTCGTGCAGCGATGTTACCTGTTCAATTGGTTGTTCCGTCGATTGTTCATCCGTCACTCCGGCAACCGGTGCGACTGTTTCAGTTGCCTCAATTGGTTGCTGTTCAGGAGTAAGAGTAGGAAGTTCATTTGATTCTGTTGTTTTTTCCACAGGTACTGCATTTTCTGTGGTCTTATCTTCTGCAATAGGCGCTTCAGTTGCACTAGGCTGTTCGGTAATGTTCGGTAAGCCTTCCGTTACATTTTCAGTTGGTTCGTCAGTCGAGATGGAGGTTTCTTCAGGGGTAACTTTATCCGTCACCTTTTCCTCCGCCACTGTAGCCTCAGTGACTGCAACCTGTGGAGTTCTCCCAGGTTCCCCTGTCTCAACAGCTTTTTCAGTTACGGCCTCTTCGGCGGCTTGAGTTGTTTCTTCTCCAGGTCTTGATTCTTCCGTTGGTTTCTCCTCAATAATCGGGACTTCGGTTGATTTCTCTTCTGTAATTGGAACCTCTGTTGGTTTTTCTTCCGCAATTGAACCTTCTGTTGCTTCTTTTTCAGTAATTGGTGCCTCTGTTAATTTCTCTTCAGTAGTTGGAACTTCTGTTGATTTTCCTTCAGTTATCGGACCTTCAGTTCGTTTCTCTTCAGTAGTCGAATCCTCTGTTGGTTTCTCTTCAGTTACTGAACCTTCCGTTGGCTTTTCTTCGGTAATCGGACCTTCTGTTAATTTTTCTTCAGTTATCGAAGCTTCTGTTGGTTTTTCTTCAATAATTGGAACGTCGGTTGATTTCTCTTCATCAATTGGGCCTTCAGTTGGTTTCTCTTCAGAAGTCGAACCTTCTTTGGGTTCCGCTTCGGTTACTGAACCTTCCGTTGGCTTTTCTTCCGGTATCGAACCGTCCGTTGAATTTTCTTCAACCGTTGGACTTTCTGTTGGTGTTCCCTCGGTTATCGAACCTTCTGTTGGTTTCTCTTCAGCGATTAGGCCTCCTGTTGGCTTTTCTTCAGGAATTGAACCTTCTGTTGCTTTCTCTTCAACAATTGAACCTTCTGTTGGTTTTTCTTCAACAATCGTACTTTCCGTTGCTTTCTCTCCAACAATTGTACCCTCCGTTGGTTTCTCTTCAACAATTGTACCTTCCGTTGGTTTTTCTTCAGTGATCGGAATTTCTGTTGGTTTTCCCTCTGAACTGTCACTCTCTGCTGGTTTCTCCTCAACCAAAGTACCCTCTGTAGGCTGAGCTGTGTCAGGGACAATTGCTCCCTCAGTCGATTGTGTGTCACCTGTGTCAGGTACCGATGAGGATGTTGGCTCCTGCGTATTCACCGATGTTTCCGTCTGAGTAACACCATCTTCAGGGTTTATTTCAGGGGACTCAGTCTCATGCTGTGGCTCGCCAGTCACGTGTTCACCATCTTCACCAAGTTTTCCTCCAGAAGTTGTAATTTCTGTCGCAGGTGTCATTTCCGCGGGTTTACCTTCGTCAATGGGTACAGATGTCTCAGCAGGGGTTTCAGATACTTTTTCCGGGGATTCTTCAGTCACAGTGACAGGCTCTTCTGCATGTGGGGCCTCAGTTCCTTCTCCAGATGGACTTGGATGTGATTCAGTAGCTGGTGCTTCTTTAGTAATATTAGATTCTGTAGATTGCGTTTGTTCTTCCTCAGGGGTTGCAGCTCCAGTTGTGGCTTCTGGATTAACTTCAATCGGGGCCTCCGTCGGTTGGATTGTCAAAGACTCTGCAGATGGAATGGAAGCAGTCGGATGTTCTTCAACCTCTTCGGATGACGTTCCTTCGGAGCTTGTGGCTTGCGTTCCACTTTCGAAGCTTGTCTCTTCAGAACTCGTTTCACCGCTCACTTCCAATCCTTTCGTTGGCATTTCCTCGGCGGACGACTCTGTGGACTGGCTAGGCTCAGTTGATGCCTCTCCTGAAACACCAGGTGCTTCAGTCTCGACTGCTCCAGTGGGTGAAGTAACGCGCTGAGTATCTTCAGTAGAAATCGTTTCCGTTGATTCACCGGAGTGAGTTGCTGGAGCCTCAGAAGATTCGGGCTCTGCTGGTTTGTCTTCCACAGGTTTCTGCTCCTCCTCAGGCTTCTGTTCTTCTTCAGGTTTCTGTTCTTCCTCTGGCTTCTGTTCTTCCTCAGGCTTGGGCTCTCCTACCGCCTCTACCGGTTGAACAATTCCTGGGGCTACAGTCACTAAATTATCAGGCGCTTGCGTCTCGGACTCTGTCCTATCGTATCCATGAGTGACATGTACTTCAGTTACGGTTTCTTCATCCTCAACTCTCCTCTCTGGGAGTCTCGGAGGAACGGATATACCAGCCGGTCCTTCAGTCGGTACCTCTGGTATATTGTCTTCCGGTTTCTCTGTGACTTGCTCACTGGGCCCCGGCGTTCCTTCTTCCCCTGGTGCAGAAGTGATCTCTGGCTTCTCTTCAGGCTCAGCAGGTGTCTGTCCGTCAATGGGTTTCTCTTCGCTAATCGGTTTCTCTTCTGGACTTTCCGTGGAAATGTGTGGAGCCTCTGGTGCCGTCGTTGGAATTTCCTCAGTTGCAACAGCTCCCGTTCCAGTATCTTCCGGTTTTTTCTCCGTGACCTCTTCGATTGTTCCAGGCGTGACGTCAGGCTCGCCAACGGTGATGCTACTTTCTGTGGCTTTCGGCGCTTCACCATTAGGCACTTCGTTATCCTCTCCCACTGGTGCCTCTGTTGGTATTCCATGAATCTCAGGCTTCTCTGTCTGCTGTTCAGATTCAGACTCCTGAGTTGGTATGTGCTCTGTGTGAATTTCAGGTTCTTCTGTTGCTTGCTCCAATCCATGCGCCTCAGTCGCCTGGACTTCCGGTGCGGTAGTGACTTCTTCAGGCTTCCTCCCCAGGTCTTCCTCTATTGGTTCTTGATCTTCTCTTCTGCCTGGAATCATTGGCTTAGTCCCTGATGGAGTTGGACGATGAGTAATTTCTTGAGGAATTTCCGGTTCCTCGGGTTTCTGAACATCCTCAGTCGTCTGTCCCTCTTCCGGTGATATTTTATCCTCAATCACTGGTGCCTCAGTCATCTGCTCATCACCTACAGTAACAGCTGATTGAGCTGTTGTCTCTTTTGGTCCAGATGGTTCCCTCTCGGGCACTTCGTTACCCTCTCCTGACGGCGCACTCTCCGTTGGTGTCCCTTCAGTCTGCTGAACCTGAGGAGGAATGGCATTGTCAGCACCTGGGAAAATCTCCTCAGGTTTCTGCTCTTCATCCTCTTCCTCCACTGGTAGTGGTGCCTGTGTCGCTTGAATTTCATTCTCATCCGGAGTCACTTGATGCTGCTTCTCATCATCTGGCACTCCACTATCCCCTTCTGCAACCAGAAATTGCCCGTTAAATTTAATAACGCAAAATGATCAGGTACAACCGCAGTAAGCAATATTTCAATCTCGATTTAAGGAAAAATATGAAAAATTAACGCCAATGCGAATCATAAACCGTTAAAATGGATTTAAAATAGATTTATAATATTTCTGTCCATCGGAATGGTTCACCGGTGAAACAATAAAAAAAAAATTCACCGAATACGTGAGTTATGGAATGAGGAATTGTTATTTCGAATGTAAATTGGTACGAAATAAAATTGATTCTCTTACCGCATTCGTACGTGGTTGGGCAGCATTGGCCTTCTGGTGGTGGCAGAGCTGTACAATTTTTTCCATGAGTCTTCATTGGTGTTCCACAGTCTTGAACGGCACATGCTATGTCACCGCGGAAGCAGTAGCAATGTTGGCAAGGCTGTCCTGAGTAAATACGCTCACCGTCATTATAAACTTGGCCCTCGTAGGAGCACAGACCAGGTGCCACAGTTGTTGTCATTATCAGACCAGTAGTCGGGCTTGGAGTCGTCAGAGGCTCTTCTTCATGATCTGTTAATAAATTCCTTATTCCATTAATTCGACCAATTAAATACATTCATATGTTCATATACCCATATGCAAATATGTAGATATGTAATTAAATATGAAAAAGAGAGAAAAAATCTTGATAAAAAATTGTTTTCTCATGTTTTTAGTCACCCAGTTAATGTTTGAATGGTTCATACAATTTAATGCACAGTATTGAACTGAAATGAGACCGATGGATGAACTCACCGCAATTATATTTGACTGGACAACAGATTCCTGGATGATGAACCGGTTTGCAGCCAGCTACATTGAGTGTACACTCCTGCATGAGACATGTCGTTGCATTTCTGATGCAGTAGCACAGCTCACAAGGATTGTTAGAATCAGTGGGTAATTGTGCACCATCGGCATAAAATTTATTATTAATACTGCATCCGTAGTTATCATGAAATCCAACTTCAGTTGAGTCAGTCGATGGTGCACTCGTCGTTGATGTTAGCAATTGTACAGGGACTTCGGGGCACGTTATCACAGGACAACACTGGTCCGGACGTTTCTCGACTTTACAATCCTGACCTATGGCCTTGGTGAATGGACATACACGCAAATAACACATCAACATCCGATTGTGACACGTGCAGTTCAGGCATGGCTCATTCGTCAATATTCTGTCGCCTTCCTCGTAGTGTTGAAAATTATAATAACATCCAGTAGCAGCTGTCAAGAATAATATCATATTTTATTATCATTCCCGGTATTATCTCGTGAAAAGCTGTTCTCGGGGATATTTTTCATAATTATTTTCCTATTATTGCTCCAACCAAGAAGAATCTTAATGGTGGAGGAAGGAAAAAATTCTATTGACGGTCAATGACATGAAGAAGAGTTATGGGAATCTTTTCAATTTTATACGGTCTATCATTTTAGTTTTTTTTTTTAAACCCCTTGGTGAACTTACAGCCTTGGTACTCCGCAACTTGTGTGGCATCCTCGTCGTATACTGGCGCTGTAAACAGAAATAATTGCGTCATTATTTGAAAAAAATCAAACATTCTCTTTCTTTTACGCTATTGCTGTTTGTGCAGAACAACAGCCTCCGCAAATGGTTTCATTTTTTGAGACAGCAAATGTATTCAAAAGTTTGGATTTTCCACATTCAGACTTCATTTCAGATTTCAGATTAATTTCAGATTTCATTTAATTCAAATTGTTTCTTGATTTAAAGTCTGTCTCTTCATTATATCAAATTATTTTGAGATTTCAGATAAATTTTGAGCTCGAGCGATTAAGTTAATTGAATCAAATGAAAATTCTGATGTAATCGCTTATAACTTGTAATTGCCAGTGCTCCTCCGGGAGATTGATGTAGGGTAAAAAGAAAAACAGAGAATTAAAGTCAAAGAGCGTCATATGGCCCTGTCGTTATCCCCATTCTCGTTAACACCCTCGTGTGCAAAAGCCCTCGAATAATGGGCTTTGTGTACGACAGAGATTCCCCTCTTTCATATACTATTTTTTTTGTCCTCTTGTCTATAGAAAATTTCTGGGGAAATTGAAGTGTCACTCGCATTATTCATCATCCCAATTGTCCAGAATCACCGTTCCCTCGATTGTCAGATTCATCCTTTCAAAAATTGCGAAACGTTTTCCTCGAATAATTAATTCATCAAGATATAAAATTGAAATAATTTCCACACGTTTTAAACGTGACATTGAATCGAATTCGAAATGGCGCCGAGAGTGAGTAGCCCCTGGATATTTTTTTTTCAATTCTAACACCTGTTCCAAGAATAAACGAACAACTGGCGAAGATTTCCCATGCATGACTAGCCTACTGAATATTATAATTCATTCGCCAATGACACGGAAAAGTCTATTTTCTCAGAATATATTCAAACGAATCTCTATTTACTGGATAATCTGATTGAGAATTCGAGTCTCGTTGAGATTCCTCAAGAAAATGCACATATGAATTTCTGTGATCGCGATTTTTACAATTCCACGGAGTAAGTGGGAATAATGGTGAGCTAGAGGATGAGGGGAAAAAATGATGGCCTGAAAGGACACAGAAATTGAAATAAAATACGAAGATGAGGACAGAGAACATGAGGATATCAGCATTCCACAAGTTGTGCACTTTGAGACACGCACAGACAATTTCCAATGAATCGAACTGTACTGGGAAATGTACACCTCCATGAATGAGGCATATGTGTGCATATGTGTAAGCTTTTTTTTTTTACTTTCATTTATTTTTTCCTCTCCATCCCTATACGAGACTGACGTTCTTTCACGCAGCACTTTACACGCGCCACGTATTGACGGTTGTCACGCTTACATCCGACCAAATGAAATTATGTGAGAGGACGATAATTGTTAATGCCCATTCATTGACGTGAATGCACTGGTGCTCAATCACTTCGATAAATTCTACAGCATATTGTGAATAGTGAAGGAAAATTACCGTTAACTGTCGGAAATGATTTCTTATCATTTATCTTGATTTTTTTGACTGAGTGAAAAATTTTGCCAGGAATTAATCAGCGGGTCCAGAATTAATCCTCTCAGTCATCAGGATATTTCGGGGGTTAAAGACGATTGGAGCGATCACTTTAATTGGACTCATCATGATGACTGTTCAATGGAAAAAGGAGATCAATGAAACATGAAATTGAATCAATCAGAAACGGATTCGGCCACTTTTTTTTCCTCGACATTGAGATGGAGAATTGATATAATTAATGATTTGTAACGGACCGGTCAATCACCCGAAGGCTGAAACTCCTATTTGACGCCCGATAGATTTTTTTTTATTGAAATACTGGGAAAATATATAGATGCATCTAATATATTTTACAGAAGAATTTATTATATGGCTTCTCCAATTCAACGCTGAGAGAAAAAGTCCAATAAAAAGTGCAGAACGCTCCATAAAAAGTACGTAAATTCTGCATATTTCTTAGGGTGCGCTCCATACTTTTTATGAGACTCTTATTCTCACTTGTGAATTACGGAACTTTCACGTAATTTTTATTATTGTACTTTTCCTCTCCGTGGAAGAATGTATTCTCCATCGATAAATAAATACAACAAACTAAAACCAAATATGCAATAGTCCAATAAAAATTACCCAGAAAAACCCTGAAAATCAGTTACGCAAAAATTTTTAAACAACCGTTCATGAAATTCCTGTTAAATCACCAAAGTCCGGTAATTCTCCCGTAATATTTCAGAGACAGGCCCAAAATTCGCGAAAACCGTTAAAAGTCCCATAATATTTCTCGAATATTTATGACTACATAAATTATTATAGATCCATCTGCTGCATTGTTTACATTGATTATCGAGTGATAGTTACTCAAATAATATTTATTTGAGTCAATCACATTGTCAGGACTAGACGTCCTCGTTCAGAAAGTGATGGGACACGAAGAATGGGTTTTAAGTTCTTGTTGCACGCGATATCTTTACCGCAGGTTAAAAAATAACCAGAAAAGGTAAATAATAACTTTGAAAGAAAGACACGAGATAAATCTTGATCACCTGAGGGAGAGGAGGCAAAATGTCTGTCCAAGTTACAATCTCTGCCCTTCCTCCTCAGGAGATATAATGTTCACCGGAGCGTGCAAGAGGCACGCGGTTGATGGTAATGAACTTTTGCTGAGTGTGAGGCAAGGTCGTACCGGCAAATTATTTCATAATCATTTCTATTCTTAGCCACAATATCCCAAGACCTTCAAAATTATTCGGATATTCCACAGCATCCCCATGAAAGAATCTATAAATTATAGGTTTTAAATTTTTAACCCATTCTTTATTATATACATGGTGAAAAATAAATTCTTCCGCCAAGAGTATTCACTATCTGGGTAAAAAAAAAAATTGTAATCGGAATAATTTTTCCAAATTTTCAAAACATTTCTGGAAGACTTTTCAGAATTTTTTTTTTTGAAACAGGAAAGAAATCGAAGAACATAACAATTTTATTTTTTGGGAAAGGTTTTGAAAGATTTTTCAAAAATTTAAATGGGCAAATTTTTTTTATAATTCAGATGGTGTGTTTTTTGAAAATATTGAAAAATTAAAGAAGGAAAAAAACAACGGTTTAATTAAAAAAAATTATATTAGCAAAAATTTCTAGAAAATGATGAAAAAAGTTTTGCGAGACAAATTTTTGAAAAAATTTCAAAACATTTCCCAAAAATCCAATTGTTTTGGTTCCCGATAATTTTATTGTTAAAAAAAAAATGTCTGAGAAGTTTTCCAGAAATTTCTTAAAAATTTGGAAAAATTATTCCGATTGCGATTTTTTTAATCCGTGTAACCACAAGAAAATCCATGAATTAATTTTTATACCTCCCAATTTTCATTGTAATGCGTAAAAATAATTGTTATGAAAATAATAATTATCCGTTATTCAGAGAGCTGAAATGTTTAATATTGATCGAGCTCTGCTGCCATGTTTAATTGAATTATTATTTATTGCAGGTGGTGCTAGTACCAGGTAAGTGATTCATGTTGACTAGTGAAGACAAGTCAAACACCGAATAAATTACCCCTCGTTTACAAAGACAAGAGCGTGACGACGGCTCATAAAATGACCATTTTTTAGTGAATTTTAATGATGAGGAAGCAAAAGTGAAGTTAAAGGGACGGTAAAGAGGCCCTTGAGAATGAATCTCCGTGAAATAACGCCCTCAATGTTATTTTCCTTTTTTATCCCATGTATCATGTTTTCTAGGATCTCATTGTTACACAGCGTGAAAACGTAATCTGTCCAGACACTTTCATAGGTTGTTCATCCATGGAGCATTCCACGGAGTGCTTCCTCGTTCCCCCGATAAAAGGGATCTCCATTGAGAAAGGAAAAGCAAAAAAAGTAAATAAAAAAATAAGTCGAAGATGGGAAAGTAGGAGAATAAAAAATAAGAGAGCCAATAAAGGGAAACAAGCGGTCCAATACACGTAACTGTTTTTACGTTCACTTTTTTCTATCTTGACCTCATCCATAAATTAATGATTAGACCCAACAAGATGAGGAGCTAATGTACCACTCAGGGAAAAAAAATAAAAACCTATAGCAATTGATTTATGGTAGGTTTGAGAGATAGGTTATGATCTGATGTATCACAATTTCATCCGAAAAATCATCTGATAATTTAATCCATGTCACGCTGACACTGCACCCACGCGATCCGTTATGGCCTCTACGGTTATGACCGCAGCTGACCTCAGCAAAGTAGCCTCCAGGAGTGGAACGAATACAGAGATTATCCTAGAATAAGAGTGAGATGAAGAAATGAGAGAGGATTCAGAGGGATTGCCCTTTTTACTCCTCTGACCAGTGGAAAACGTGACAATGGCCTCTTTATCTCGTTCTCATGGCCCATGATATCAACCCCAAAAGCCTCCAGGTCCTCTTCAAAGCCATCGTGATGATGCTCTTGCATTATTTATACCGTCATTCACAGGAACCTGTTACCAGGCCCACTATAAGAGAATTACTGCTTATTAATTGACAAATCAATGATCATCTCAAATAAATTGGTGAATTCGTTCTGGATTGAAACTGAATTCGAATTCCTGTAGTTAAGAATTTTTATGGGATGAGAAATGATATACGCCTGTTGGACAGATTCTGATGTCATTGAATCAAAGAATCAGCGGTTCCTTAACCCTAGTACAGATAGAACCTGCCTCTTGTACTTAAACGGAAGTTGACGATACCACGAAGAGGGGCCAGTCCAGGGGCCAGTCCAGGGGCCAGTCTAGGGGCCAGTCTAGGGGCCAGTCCAGGGAGGAGTTGCATTGCTGTTACAAGTACGAGTGTAAAGACGCCAGATAAAATGAGAGAGAGAAGTTGCCATGAGAAAACTCAGAGTTGAGACGAATAAACCCACCCATTATGGATAGGTTCAAGAGAGAAAGGCTATCGCATTGCAGTTAGCTGTGATTCAGGAAGAAATGTCCCCTGGAGGACAGCCCAACAGGATCACGAGAACAAGAATTCCAAACGATTGAGGTATTGGAGGCCAGAGTGAGAAGATTTTTTAAATAATTGATGGAGTCAATTATTTAAAAAATATATAATTAATCATTTCATTTTTTTAATAATATTTATGTTGGGAATTTGACACCTGAGAAAATTCAAAACTGCCAGTTCAATATCTCTAACATCAATGCCTCATAACTCGTTCTTTTCTGTTTGCATCCTGCCACAGTTCTTTTATAACACCACCTCGAAGTGGCCTTCTCCCTCATTGTCCATCACTTGGAGCGTGTCTCGTTGCGCGTCCAACCGTAACTTTAGATTGAAGAAAACCCAAGAGAAGAGAACTGCAGTGACTGCAGTGTGAAGAGGATCGAGACAAGGTAATTATATTATTCGTCTTTTTTTCCTCATTCTTCACATCCTTTGACTCACTGTAACTTTCTGTTTTCTTATTCATTCAAGTAATTACGTAAATGGTACAATTGGCACGATCATGCAAGGTAATCTAGTCTTTGATGTGCCAATTTTGGGATTATCTGGGATTTTTTAATAAATTTTAAATGAACTTTAGGGCTCAAATTTGGAATTTTAAAAAACAAAATTCTCCCATCAGCGATGGAGATTGTTTATAAGAAATTACTCACCGGAATGTGTATGGTGTAGAATAAGAAGGGCTAGAAGCCAGAGAATTATTCCAGGCCGGTACAGCCCGGCACTCAACTCCGTCATCTTCCGTATCCTGTAACAAATAATAAAATCTTCATATGATTGTTTTCTTGTATTTAATCATCACCGATAATTCCCGTAAAAGATAAATTCACAGTGGTAGGTATTATGCTCATTACCCCGCTCCGGAAATAACCGTGCGATAAGAGGACATTATATCTCTCTCACTCGCCTATTAAATATTTTTCATACAGAAGTTTATCGCGCAATCCAGGTGAGTATATATTTGTGGTAGACAATGCACACGAGTTTGACTGTCTTTATATTATTATTCATATATTATTTCTCCGCTGAAAGACATAAATATTTTTTTAGTTACCAAGCCGTGGGAATGTGTTCTACTCGCCGCATAATATCCGTTATTCCGGTAACGGAAAAAATTGTGAAGTTCCATCATGTTGATATTTAAATACGATATAATGGGTTAATGCTTCCATATAATACCGATTTACAGTCATCATAAAAAAACAACAACTTTTACAGCGACTAATGTCGACTTCTTATGTTGCTTTAATTACCGGATACCCCACGCATGTGCAAAAACCGATTCATGTACGTTATATTGCGTTTCAATTCATTAATCATTCACACAACTGATGCTACCAGTTGATTCGTTAGATCCGCATAATTCATAAACTTGTCGACAGAATTACGTACATTGTTTCTTGTCGCCACAGAGGATTATTTATACTCCGTGATCAAAGGTATGTTACTCCGAGAAATGATCTCCAATACGACTTGGTTCTTGTATCAGCTTACCCGGCTAAAAAAAAAATTGTAATCGCAATATTTTTTTTCCGAATTTTCCAATAATTTTGGGAAAACTTTTCAGAAAAATTTTTTTATGAAAAAAAATCGGAAAACAAAACCATTTTATTTTTGGGAAAGGTTTTGAAAAATTTTTCAAAAATTTAAATAGGAAATTTTTTTTTATAATTCCAATGGGGTAATTTTTGAGAATATTGAAAAATCAAAAAAGTAGGAAAACAGCAGTATATTAAAAAAAAAATTATACCCGCAAAAATTAAAAAAAAAAACGTTTGAAAAATTTTTCAAAGCATTTCTCAAAAATAAAATTGTTTCGTTTCCCGATTTTTTTTTTGTTTCAGAAGAAAAATTTTCCAAAAAGTTTTCCAGAAATTTTTTGAAAATATGGAAAAAATACTCCGATTACAATTTTTTTTACCCGGGTAATCACTTTCAGCAGTTGCAATTTTATATTTAATTCAGAGATGACCATAAAAAAAATGGCAGATAAAAATAAAATCGGGCGGAGATGAATTAAAATAGAGTACACGGAGAGAAAAATCTATGAATTTTTATATTGTGATTCCGATAAAAATTACTGTGCTGCCTTACAATCTAGGTGTAAACTGCAGGCCTGAGAAAAATTACTATGCCAT